TATTTTATTTTATTATACGGAGGATTTTATTGAAATAATTGATGGGAACAGGAGAGCCTAGAAACGGGTGAAAATAATTTTTCAAAGCAAAGCAAAGCAAATAAAAACAAGAAACATAATATATTATACATTACAATTACAGTAGAAACTCGAATATCCGGCCCTCAGTTGTACGGATTCGCGATTATCCGGACTACAGACAAGTCCAGATAAGAAAAAATGTCAAAGTACAAGAGAGCAGTGTTGTTAGGAGTGGCGTACGCAAATAATAATTACCAAATATTCTAAACCAAAATATACTTATTATTATAATTCATGATTACCAATTGCAAATTACCAAATACATATTGTAATTTATTTCATGATTAAATCTGCAGTTTTTAGTACATACAAGTAAGTATATGTATGTATATGTAATCGAAGAAAATGCATCCTTTAATTGACAAACATTGATTTTCGTTGATATGTATTTGTTGCTTTTTTTAAATAAACATATATACCACTTAACATTATATATATATTATGTACTACATATGCACAAAACCGGATTTTCTTCAAACATTCGATTATCCGGATTTTCGATTATCCGAATGCCTATCGACAACGATTAGTCCGGTTAATCGAGTTTCTACTGTATTACCATTTCTTGTTCACATATTTTACGTTGTATATTAGCACATAAACTTTTTTTTTAGAAAAATTGACATAGAATTTACTTTTGGCTTCATTGTTTAGATCACGGCATTGAAATACTAAGAATTATTAATTAAATACATCCTTTAATTTAGATCTATATAGATAATTAGATAATCGCATGATTTTTAAGCTAAAATTGGGTATTGTTTTCATATTTTTCTTGACTTTTTCTATATATAATATATTTCTTATAATCTGAGCTTTCCATTAAAATCTAACAATTAGAATTTAACAAAAGGGTTGAAAAGGTAAATCGGCTTCCCTTTTTTATATTCTTAACAATATATGAATTTTTATCAAATAACAAATGCTAGCCTACACTTCTCTACCTCGAAAAATGCATCTTTAATTCCAATGAAGCCCTAGGCCTTCATTCGACAGTTGATTGACTTTGATCTCCAACAACCAAAAAAAAACAGAGACGAATATTCGTTGCCCCTATAAAGCAACGAGTACAACAAGGAAAAAGGACATACGCAACGTAAAAAAAGTATTTGAAATTGTGCATCTTTTTTACTTACCCTTCGTTCATTTTAATTAACAAACCCACTTACGCTTTGTGTAGACCACAAATTGCTATTATTTAATTAAAAAAAAGTAATAGTATACCACCTAATAAATATTTTGAATTATTTTTATCTGGAATGATTTTCAGATGGAATTATTTTTCAGATGAAATTTGTTAAAGATTTAATAATTTTTAATACACAATACCAAATTTACTAGTTTTCCTTAAGACGAATATTACACATTGAATGTGTTATTTAAAATGCGTTTATTTTTATTGCAAAGTATCGGTATTTTTTTATATCAATGGTTTCTAAAAATTCCTCACTAATTTAGTTTAAAATATTTTTTTTTAAGTTACACAAACAAGACGTCAAAAGGAATTCCATAGTTCACATTTACGAATGACAAAACATGAGATGTGTCTTAGCTTTATATGAATAACATGCTTCTACATAATACGCGGCCTCGCAACACAAATTCACATATAATTCAACAAGATTTATATAAAGGAATATGCACGAAACAAGGAACGGGAAAAAACTACACGCCAGTGAGATTTTTGTCCATTTCACCCTCTGCTAATTAAATTATGTTTTCACTGTGAATTCGAATTAAAAGAACTCTTTTATTAAATTAAATCTGGAGAAGTATTAGGTGTATACGTAATGGTAATTTATTATTTAATTTAAACGACATTTAGCTGTATATATTTATTTATTTTGTATATTTCTATACTACTTGTGAGCAGTGGCGAGGCAAGACCTAAATTTGATGTGGGCAAGACAAATTTCGCGAGGCCCTATTCTATGGCAACCTGAAGCTCTTACTGCCTGCTAGTTTTAAAAACTTAATCGTCGATACGATTTTTACCCTTAAAGCTTTGGTTTCCTTCAAAAGACATTATAAATCGTATTTTATATACGAGTAATTATTGCGTTACATACTTATTACCAATTAAATATTTGTTACTTTATGTAAAATAAACGAGAACAGGTACCGGTGTATTACAAATCACAAAGAAAACAAAAACAATTAAAAACGTCACTGTTTTCGGGGGCAATCAATATACTTAAACACTATCTATTTATTCGCTAAATATTATTTAAACATTGACCACACTATTCTTATCAAAATTGGTAAGTACAGTCATAAAAATAAACAATATTGAATAACACAATTATATATGTACATACGTTTTTTTTTTTTTGGTATGCGCGTAACGCCAGGGATAAAACCAGGGATACCCCGCACTCTGGTAGGCGGCAAATGTTGCCAGTCTAAGAAAATATCATTATCAACAAAATTGATTTATTTATAATTTTTTTTTCGCTTTAAAATTTTTGGAGGCGAGAGGCCCCTTGTACCGCGAGGCCGTAGGCGGTGGCCCACGTCGCCCACGCCTTACACCGCCACTGCTTGTGAGTAACTATGTAAAATAAAAAAAATCGACTGTCATTTCTTTAGGTAGAACTATTACCGATTTTATCAGTAAAAGCATTCTATTATATTTTATGCTTATCCCGAAATAGCAACGTCACATAACATACGAGGCTTTAACAGTTCATCATTCATAATCCTCACACATTGTAGTAATAACGTAGGTAATTAATAATTGGGAAACGGAAAGCGCTTTGTATATGTAGTGTAACTATGAAAACTTGTCCTAAAAGTACTCCTTTTCATATGTTTTAGGATAAAGATAAAAAATATAAACTGTAACTTTGATACTCTTCTCCATAAAAACAAGATAGGGTATAGCTTCCGCATCATTGTAAAAAGAAAAGTCAATCAGAAGCAATCTATTTCAAAGCGAATTTCCTTTGTATATAAAAAAAAATTTTCTTATATCCTTTACCAATCAATCAGTATAATAGTTATTCTTACATCTACCTATATTTTGGTCATTTTCATAAAATTTAAGACACCACCATTAATATAATCATTAAAAATATAAAATTTCATAATGTAAACAAATATATAACTTTTTTTTAAAAGGAACTTTTTTGAAGTAAAAACAATAAACTTTGTACAGCTAAGATCCAAGTGTAGAATTGTTTGAGCTTAATGTTAGGAATCCTAAATTAATGTAAAAAGCATCCGAATTTCAAATACATCATAATAAACAACTAATATCCCTCCAAAAAAAGTAATAAAACCCGGTACCTACCGTAATCATACTTTTCATTATCTAAATACAATGAAAGCTTGGTTTTGCTTTCAGACAAGTACTAGTGATATTAACAATTTTTTTTTTATGTAACGAAGAGGGCAACCGAACAGACGACCTACCTGATGGAGGTAGTACCGTCGCCCATGGACATCCGCGACATAAGACGTGTTGCTGATGTGTCACCACCCTTGGTTTGGGAAGAGGGGAAGGAAAAATGGGACGGGGAGGAAAAAGGGAAGGGGTAGGAAAGGATGGGAAAGGGAAAGTGAATCCGGCTCTCTCACTCATCGAACGAAACGCAGCCACTAAGGCTGCTTCACGCCGATTTTCTGTGAGAGGGTAGTACTTCCCCGGTCGAGCCAGCCCATGTTCGAACAGCAATCACTTGACCACAGCTAGGCTCTACCACCGAATAAAACATAAACACAAACAAACTAATAATGAGATAAAAGTTATTCATACTAAAAGGGTCATATATTTATGTTGAAAAATATACATTATTACAACTTTCGAATGTCAAGTTTTGAGTTCCAATTTCTTTTTAGAAAAAAAAGCTGTACACACCATGCTGATACAACATGGTAGGTTTATTACTAGGGCCCGGATTAATATGTAAATACATATTTTTAATTTACACGGTTTTCGGTCTAGAATGTGTTTTCTACATGGATTGTCATATTTAGACTGTGAAAAACCAACTTTTATTTTCCATATTTTATCATATTTCGAAGTCAAGTCCATATTTTACAAGAAAATGTCACAATCATCCATATATCCACAAAAATACATAAAATTTACGTTCCCGCCACTAATGTTTTGGATAAAAATAAAGGATTTAATACGCTAAAAAAAACAAAATTCTGTGAGGAAGTTTCGAGGGCTGTAGACATGGCTTACACAAATACTGAATTACACATGTTTAAGTATGCACCCATCACGTCATGTGACGTGAAGAGATCATTCAGCAGATATAAGGCTATATTTCAACCAAATGGTTGGTTTTCATTTTGATAATTTAAGAAGAACATCATTGTGTATTGCAACCAATTTGATAAGACTAGTGTAGTGGAAGTTGAATAAAACTGTTATTTTTTGTTGAAATAAATATTTCGCTACTTTTTTCATCGTTTTTTAAATGTAACTTAACAATGTACGACACGAGTAACCCTTTTCTTATAGTAAAACCATGTTTAATTATGAAAATATTTTATTTTATACTCCATATTTTTTCCATATTTTTGATTTTTTCGTCCATATTTTATGTACATATTTTAGATTTTTTTATACATATTTATCCGGGCCTTATTTATTTCATATTATCTTAGGAGTTTTATAGAAATGCGAAAGACCCATTTTTTTTTTTACTAGAAAATCATTGATATTTTTAAAAACTACATTTAATTAATATGTTTTTAATATCTCTTAAATCTATTTTTAAAATATATTTTTTTAAAGTTTAACATATCTCTTAAAATAACCTATAAACTTATGTCAAAGTCAATTCTGAATGTCAACTAGAAGTATGTTCACATGGAGACATTAGACCGCTGTGGGCTTTACTATCAAAACATAACCTATACAAAAAGTTTGAAAATATTGATTTACCAAGATATTGTAAACAAACATGAAGGCTAAAACAGTATCTGTGAAATCCAAACAAAAAAACAAGAAACAAAAATTAAAAGCACCTAAATTAAAGGCTGCTAAGAAAAGTAAAAAAGTGCAAGTGAAAAAATCTACTATTAAGGATACCACTAAAGTAGCAAACGTCAAGAGTCCAGAGAAGGAGGTGAAAAAAGTACAGAATGTGAAATATATAATGCCTTCCAAAGCAGTTACAGATGAGGTTGTAACATCGGCTTTAACTGCCTTAGAAAAACTAACTGCTCATACTTCTAACAAAAATATTATCTTTGGAGACGAACATCAAATATTCATGGAGGTTCGATGTATTAAAATACCACACTCTAAAGGGAACATCAAATTGTAAGCAAATAATTAATACATTACATACACTTCATACTTTAAATTGAAAGCCGATGTTTAATTTTCATATTTCAGTGTACTCCCACATAGTACAGTATTGTCATCTAAGGAAGTGTGTCTTGTAACACCGGACATCAAGAAAGGAAAGAAACCTGATCATGAGCCTACTGTAGACAAATGGGAAGAATTGCTCCGGGGAGCCGGAGTTACAAGTGTAAGTACTTAGAATAGAAAAGTAATGTATTAAGAGAGATTTAAAATAAAAAAAACTCAATATATTTGAGTACTTTTAAAGTTAACATTTTAGAATTGACCTTAAAATGATCTAAGTTGCAGCTTAAATGATATAAACCTTTTAAAAACTCTCTTAGTAATTTGTCACTAATAGTAAAGAAATATATTATTAACTAAATTTGGCCTCTAAACCTATGCAGTTTTCCCTCATTGTAATCATGTACAATATTAAGTGATTAATAAGTCTTAAACTAACCATAGAATTTTATTCCCAGGTCAAAACAATCCTTCCTATGAGGCAACTTAGAGTTGAGTATGACCAGTTTGAATTGAAGCGTAGATTGTTGACGCAGCATGACTTCATAATGGTTGATACAAGAGTTTTAAACCATGTGTCTCACATCTTGGGAAAGATGTTTTTCAAGAAACACAATATGTTGATACCCGTTAAGATAGATGAAAGTAAAGATATTAAGAAAGATATTGACATTGGTTTAAGAACTGTTATGTTGAGGATCAGTGAAGGCCAAACGGCCACCATGGTTGTCGGACACACTGGTATGCAGCAGAATGATATCAAGGAAAACATTTTAGCTGTCGTCAATAAGTTGAATAAGAGGTATCCGGGCGGTGAAGCTAATATCAGAGGTTTAGCTATAAAACTACCATTGTCACTTTCTCTGCCAATATATATGACATTAAGTAAGTATTTAGTTAGTGTTAGTTTTCATAATGAGATTTAAGATTTTCGCGAGTACTCATTTAAATAAAACTAATATCACATCTCGTCTGCCCGTGATCACGGTTGCTCAAAACTAGCCGAAACATCGGGAGTATGTAGTTTGTAATCAAAAATAAAAACGCGAAGTAAAATCCGAAAATATTAGTTTCATTTAAGTGTTAGTTTTCATCTATGAAAATTATTTGTAGAAAAAATCCATAATTATTACAGTATAGCTATAAATTTGTGTTTAGTATAACATTATCTATCTATTTCTAGGGCCAAGCAGTTCTGTAAAGACGATTCCAAAACTTAAACGTCCTAAGCCTAAATCATATGTTATGTATGAAGATGAGTTATCAACTCATCTCAGGAGTACTGTAAGGGTCAATCCTGATGGAACTGTTAAATTGAAATTACAGCCACAGAAGAAAAAAGAAAGGTAACATTTTCTTATAATATGTAATAACAAATTATAATAATTTTTAATGTTAAACTTTTTGGTTGTTGCCTTTATGATTTTGTACTAAAAGTAATTTATTACATTTGTTATTTTTAGAATTGTGGAAGATGACATTCTAAGTGAAGGTGATGACAATGAAGACGATGATGAAATGGATGATGATGGTGATGAAGAATGATAAATAAAAGGTTTTATACAATAACATGCTGTTTTATTACAAGTAATAAATGAAACTCTTGATTTACATTTAGAATGTTATAACTTTCAATAAATGTAAACATAATCAACAACTATGATGCTACTTGACTTAAATTAGAAGGGCTATAGTCAGTAGAGAATACTTCGGAATTTCTAACAACAGTAATATTCATTTTCACAGGCCATACTTTTTTGAATTTCTTGAAATTTTTAATTCCATTATCTGAACTTTTCACTTGTAATGGTTCTCTTTTCACTACAAGATCCTTACATACAATTAGTGTAGTACATCCTAAGTCAATATTACTCAATTTTTCATCTATTTCTGATATATCTTCCTTCTTCACTTTATTAAGACCAGCATTCAGTTCTAAACCAGCATTTATTTTCTCTAATTCAACTAATTTGGAACCTCTCATAGCATTAATATTAAGACTTTGACTTATCTTCTCATCATCAATGGGAACTGTTTGAACCGTATTAGTCTTGTTTTCCTGAATATCATTGCTTTTGTCAGCCGCCTTTTCTTCATTAACAAAATTGAATAAGTCGTCTTCATCCCCATCAACAGAATGCTTTCTTTTCAAAGGCTTTGAGAAGTTTAACTTCTTTGTTTTATTATCTACTGTCACAGATGTTACTGTTTTACTTGTACTTGTAAAATTGAACATGTCTTCATCATCATTGTCTTGAAGAGCCATTTTTTTTGCTGGTTTTTTGTCTTCAGTTTCCTCTAAAGGTCTTTTTTTCGTTAAACTCAAATTTAAACGCTTTCTTTTGAGACCGTTTGTATCATCACAGTCGTCATTAAATTTTCTTTTCATACTAACATTATCTGTACTTTGACTGAGTGATACATCTTGTGTTGAAGTCAAGCTCTCATCTATTGAAATATTTTCTCTTTTACAAACATCTTGTGAAGTTTCTTGAGATTCAACTGCTAATATGTTATTGTTTTTATTCTGTATAGGAGCTTGCTTCATAACTTCCAACGAGAAATTGAAGTCTGGATTGCAATACTTATTTATGGAGCAGTATAGTACTGCCAGACCTATTTCTGCATCAGCCACAACTCGTTTGCCTTTACTCTTGAGGAAATCAATAATCTCCCTGATTTGATCTCGCTGTGATTGAGTTTCCTGACTTGTATTTGACAAATTATACTGAATAACAATCACATTGTTTTCACAGAGACCAGATTTGGTCATTTTTGTTTCGCTCAATAGCATGGGTGTAGCTGAACTCTTTATCAAAACAGTCTTATACATCTCTAACTGTCTCCTACTGAAGAAAATGAATTTTTTGCCAGCAAAAATAGTGGATCTGTTCTTGTCAGGAAGAAATGAAACATTTTCTTTATTAAGTGTTGATTCTAATATGTGTGGAACAAAATTAGCAACATTTGGTAATGGAGTATTATTACTTATTGCATCATAGCATTTGTTCCAGTAATCAACAGTTACAATATTGGAATTCTGGACCAATGCAAGGACTACTTTAATTGTCAATGTAATTGCTGGCATTGTCAGGTAAATACATGTGTCATCCCAGTCGTTTTTGAGAATCCCACCCAATTTGTTAAGGATGTTTTTCAAGTTTAGCAAATTTTCACCCTTCAATGTGGAAGAACATGTAATGAAATTAATTTTGCAAGCCTTCCACACACAACCCAGTTTGCCAAATTTTATAACATCATTGCAATTTAAAATTTTCACGCGTTCTGGTTCAACTTTTTCGAAACTGTTAATGAAAGTTCCATATTTAGACCCTACGTCTTTTACGTATAAACAGCCGTCTTTTATGAATAATGTCGCATGTTTTCTACTTATAGAGGGATCGTCAGGAATGGCGAAGTTACAATTTTGTCCATCTAAACTTCTTCCTACTATAACATTTTTGTTTTCTTGAACATATATGACCCTTTTATCACTCTCTGAAGTTAAATACCACATTATGACACGCTCGTTGCTGAGTCCATGAAATTTATACAACCAAGTACCAACTAATCAAAGTTTAAAGAAAGAAGTCTCAACTCGAAAATGAATACGAAGATATTTTAAAGAACGGCAAATAGTCAATATTTTGTTACATATTCAGTCATAATACTGTCAATGTCATAAGCTAGTTAGAGCCAAAACCGATAAGGAATAGAATTTTTAAAGTCCAAACAATCGTACATGAAAATACTAAGCAAATAGGTAATTGATTTAACGCAAAATTTTCACAATCATTACTATTATACCACACTCTTTTCTGTTTACCAAATTTCTAGAAGCAAATAATTTCATAGGATTAGGAAATTTATTTTATAATTAAAAATAATTATTAATATTAACTTATATATTATCAAAAAACTTTTAATTATTTTGTATATCTAGGACGAAATATATTTTTCATTTAATGCGTACTTCATTAAATATACATTTAGTACCTAGTATACTATTGACAGTTCCCATGGCAACGCCATAATAAACAAACCGGTTTTCGCACAATAGAGCAATATACTTTGAATACCTACTTCAATTTTTATTTTTAAAGCTAAAATATGACTTTATACATTGATAAAAAATTGAATTTTATTGATACCAACGTTGTTACAACCTTAGGATCCTGGCATCCGACTTTACCGCTTTTAGCAGTTGGATCTTACAATCAAGAAAAAGGCGGATATGTAACTATTTTTCAAGAAAATGTTCGTATTACCCTTAATACGTAGTGTAGTATTAGTAAACTGTCTATATAACACATATTTTGCTGCTTGTAATCCTTTTTCAACCTTTATTCTTTCACTGTATTTTTTTTTTATTTTTCAGGGTTTAGCTTTAGAAGGCTGTGACTGGCCAGTGTTATTATCGAATCAAGTTACAGCTCTAGCTTGGCACCCTATTAGAAAACTATTAGTAGTTGGATGGGATGGTGGAGAACTCTATATCTGGTTAGAATATTCCTGGGCTCGGTTAGAAGCTCCACACACTGCTGCATTAACTACAGTCACATTCAGCCCAGGAGGGGGCAGGCTGCTTGCTTCGGATGCTGCAGGTTCACTTTCCGGCTGGCAATCGAGCTCCGGCGCACCATTGACTGCATTCCATCATCAACTAGGGGATATAATAACACTTGTGAAGTTCTGCACCCCACATCCAACATCAGAAACTTCAATAAGGGGATTAGCTAGAGCTGCGGTTGAAGGAGATGAGAATGCTCTCGATGCTTTGGCCGCCTGGCGTCCTCGGACTACGGCAAAGATGAGAGAGGGACTCCAACCAGATAATCATGCCTGTTATGCGGCTCAGGATAATGGAATCATTCTATACATAGACCATACAGGTGCATGCTCAGAAGTACTTAATGCTCCAGGTGTCATAGTATTTATGGACATCATAAACACCATATACCTACTTGTTGCTTGGGAAACAAGTGGAGGTGTTAGTCTTTCTAGATTCACCATGTCAAGTGATGGCTCTCTCACAACAGATACTCATGTAAGAATGACTGCAAGGAACGGTCAATGTATTGTGCTAGCCGGGCATTACAGTATTGCAGTAATCACAGGAGATAACTTAATAAGAATTTGGGACAGTGAGAACGGTGACAATGATGTCCTGCCAAATGAAAATGATGTAACCATGCCCGGAGATATATTTACGAGTATAAGTTATTGTAATTTAAGTGATACATTGTGCTGTGGTTCTGGACAAGGTAATTTGTACTTATGGAGACGAGACCACAAGAGTAGATGGAAATTAATAAGCAGTACTGCCGTCAAGGGTACAGTGAAGGAAGTATATTGGGGTTCAGAGGGATTAATGAATCCTCTATTATATGTCAACTGCATAACAAATGCGTTCATTCTTCGAGAACAGCACGTCTGCTGGGGTTACTCGAAAAATATGTGGATGGTGCAGAAATCTGCTCATGAAGTGTCCATAATAGGAAAAAACAATGCAACATCTAACATCAATTCTTCTATAACGATCAAAACATTCGCATTTAAGGATAATTATATAGCTTTAGGTGATGGTAAAGATGTACAGGTAGATATCATTTTATAAATAAAATTAAATTTTATCAAAATGTAATGTTTTAATGATTTTCAGATTTGGATGAATAAAGAAAATGATGTAAAATTTACTCTTATCAGAACCTTTGAATGGAAGACGGACGTTCTTATATTGTATAATGACATGATAGTAGGTGTTGTTAGCCCGCATATAGAATGTTACAATGTATCTGGAACCAAGATAGGTGTGCTGCCTAGCAGTGAGGGCGAAGGGGAACCCATAGCAATAACAAACACTAACAGGTTCATTGCAATCGCAACGATAGATGGAACGCTTAAATTGGCCGAAATAACAAAAAAAGGTCTCAGAATGCCTTACCCGGCCAAAAACTGCTACCAAATGATCGAAGATTTTGGAGAAATCATGAGATCTTCGTTAAATTGTACCGGACTCTATATATGTCTGAGTATTGCGAATGCTGGTTTGGCCCCGGACCCTCGTATATACCTGTGGGATGTAGCTAATGATGTTATAACACATACACTGCTCTCAGATTCTAAATCCCCGCCATATCAGAGCGTGCCTATTTCTATATTATGGGATCAAAACGACCCCAGACTCGTCGCGGTCCACATGCGGTCATCAGACTTCGACCACATCCATCTCTTCTTCTGTCACGAAAGCAAACTCTACGAATACAAAAACTGGTGTCCGAATGCTGAGGATTATTTCAGTTCTGATTTTATTTTTTGCACATTAAATGCTCCATACGTCGTGATATTAACACAGCAGAATATAAAAAGGATAACGCTCAAGGAGTTTGAGGAACAAAGCGATGACGAACCTAATAAAGCGAAGCAAGTTCTCAATTTCCTCTTTTATATGACAACTGGACATTTGGAGAAAGCTGTTGTTATCGGCTCTAACATATGTGGGACTAAGAATTCTATTGTTTGGGACAGTTTGGCAAAAATGTGTGTGTCACTGAAACGAGCTGAGGTCGGATCCGTTTGTTTGACGAAAATGGGAAACATCAAAGGAGCTTTGATGATGAGAAAAGTTTTAAACGACGATACTATGAATGACGTGTCGAAGGTAGGAGTTTTAGCTGTGAATCTCGGTATGATAGATGAGGCTGAAGCGTTATTCCGCGAAGCACAACGACCTGACCTTATAACACGTCTGATATCAGCCAAAGAAGGTGGTTTAAACGAAATTATTAACGGTGAAAACGAAGGAGAGAATTTGCTACTTATAAAAAGCGCCCAACACAAACTGGCCAAAATCATGTGGGCTAACGGAGAAACGGCAGCAGCATTGAAACTGTTCGAAAGCGCTGGGACTTTAGTACCGCATGTTCCAAGAATGCTGATAGCACAAGGACAAGCGTCAGTTTTAGCCCAATACGTATCAACTTCCAAAGACAGCAACTTAATAACCTGGTGGGGACATTACTTGGAAAGTATTGGCGATCTCGATGGCGCGTTAGATGCGTACGGAAGAGCAAATGACTTCGGCGAACAAACGAGGCTCTTGTGTCACATGGACAGAATTGAAGAAGCTGAAAAAATATGCAACAAGAACAAAGCTTCGATGTACCAAATGGCTAGATATTTAGAGATGAACGCAAATCAAACGGAAAATGCAGTTAAGGTGAAGATAATACCTACATGATAATAAATTCCAAATTAGATCATAGACGAAACTTTGCTTAAAATTTCAAAATACTGGAAAATTTCTAATACAACTGAAAAAATATTATCTACCGTTCTTTACATGATAACACCATTTATATAAATAGACTATTTGATGATATTAACGTTACAGATCTACATAAAATGTGGGGCCATAACATCAGCTATTCGTGTAGCGGCTGAAGCGAACGCGTGGAACTTAGTGTGGCGAGCTGGTTCCTGTTCCCCTCAACACGCGGTCTACGCCGCCTCCATACTGGAGAACGCTGGACAGAACGAACGAGCGATAGCATTGTATCAAAAAGCTGGTAATTATTCCACTTTTGACCTATTTACATAATCCAATTGACTTCAAATCAACAAGAATAGGGTATGTCTTGTGATACAGTAGTATAATGTTATTGAGTCTATCAATAAAGAACGTTATAAGGGGAGATTTATATTTGCTTACATTGTTTTTATATTAAAATGGAGATATTTAAACTAATGGTAAAGAATTATATTTGGAGAATTCTCTTTAAATATCTTAATTCATAAATACCAACCAATTTAAAGAAATTCTTTAATATTCTTTAATATATATGGAAGGTTTTTATTAGCAGTAAATCACCTTGAACCTAAAATAAAATCACTTATTAGTATAATCACTTGTACGAGCCAATCAAATTCATTTTATGCCTATTTACATTGCATTTGAATCTGTATCCATAGTTGACAGTTATGTTTCCTTTAAAGAGCATATTATTCTCCATACATTAATTTCAACACCAACAAATCGTAAATCTCATTTAAGTCTTCTTCAATATACACGACGGAATCATACTTTAAAATACCTAGAACCAATAAACCAAGTATATAAATAACTTTCTGGTTCCAGGCAAACCGCACATGTCCCTGAAGCTTGCTCTAAGTAGCGGTGACACAGCGGCTGTTATATCAGCGGCTGAGTCATTGCAGCGTGTGGAAGGATCCTTGGCTCGATCGCTGGCGACTCATCTGAAACAAGCACAGAGACCAGCTCATGCTGCAGCTGTGCTTGCTACTGCTGGACAGGTGTGGATACAGATGGATATAGTGCTACAGATGGATAAAGTGCTACAGATATATACAGGGTGACTGGTGAATTACTATCAATATTTAAGGAGCATACTCGGTACATGATTCTCATTCGAATTATGTAAAAAAAATAGGTACTTAATTTTTGACCAAATTTCCGTATAAATAAATAAAGTGTTGACACGTTCCAAGTGTTCCAAGTGTGGACGCGTACGGCGGCGTGCTGATATAACAACACGCCGCCGCGCGCGAGTGTGTGTGTGTGTGTGTGTATACCTAATCTGTAGGGTGTTCATACGATGCGTAATTAATTACATAACTTTTGGTTAACTTTTCTTAGAAGTTTATTAATATTTATGTTATATTAATTTTTATTTTGTCCTATATGACCGTCAATTATCACGTCCTCAAATATCGATAGTAATTCACCAGTCACCCTGTATAAGTGCTACAGATGGATATATTGCTAAATAGTCCTACTGATATTGTGAATGTTAATGTTTGTGATGATGGATATATGAGTGGTTGGTGTAATTTCACATTACTGAACGGATTTGGATGAAACTCTTAAAAAATGTAGCTCAGATATAAGAATAACGTATATGGGGTTGTCGTTTAGCTCTTTATTAGGATTGTTTTGCATATAAATATGAAGCAGACAATAATGTCGCTGATTGTGGGTTGATATATCTGTTATATTAAATATAATTCTTTGGTTTGTCTCTAAAAACTACGGAAGACAATGAGAATTAAGTGCAGATAAACATCTGTATATATATTCAGAGTTAATTATTCTATAAAAGAAAGAAAACCATAGACTATGCTGAAATTTAAAAAAAAAAGATATTCTTTTTCTGTTTTATGTTTAAAATAGCTTCACCATGTATATATTTATGTGTATTACAGTACGAAGAAGCTCTCGATATAGTAGAAGAATCTGAAGCGCCGTTATCAGAGGAATTGAGTGAGAAGCTAGCGGCTCCGGCTGGCACTGATGGCAGGGACGCGTTGTTGAGAAGACTAGCGGATATACTGGGCACTAGAGGCTTGTACCACCAGGCGGCGAAACGACTGGCGCATATTGGAGATAAGGTGGGGTGAATCGGTACATACTATTATGTTGTATACAGACGCTCATTCCAACAATATAAATGAGTAGATCCGAAAAATATAATGTTTATTTCTAATACTAATTTGATTCTCCTAAGGCCGGTGCTATGCGCTGGTTAATGCGTTCCGGTGACTGTGAACGCATCGCGACCTTCGCGTCCGCGTCACGTGACCGCGCCGCTCAGCTTATGGCCGCGGACTTCCTCAGGCGACACGCCTCGTGGAAGACAAGACCCGACCTAGCTCGGCATGTTATACACTTCTATAGCAAAGCACGCGCATACACGAAACTTGCCTCGTTCTACGCTGAATGCGCCGCCATGGAGATCGAGGAGTACGAGGTGGGTGATGTATTGCTATCTCTGTCACACTTGCAGTGACTTATATATCTTTCTCTTTCTTATACATGTCTACAAATTAAATATGTTGTCCATGTCATAGTCCCATAAATAAATACACAAATTGTAGTCTCTTGAAAAATATTTTAGAGTTTATTTTGTTTCTAGAATTATGAAAAGGCGTTGGAAGCTCTGAAAGAGGCGGCGAGGAGTTTAGCAAAATCATCAGATTCTGAAACTGGTAGGTTCATTAAAAATGAATAGTCTGTAACATTATATTTGATGAATCATTATTTTCACCTATTTTTGTAGGAGCACAAACCGTCGCTATACAAGAACAGAGTAATTTTGTAAAGCGATTTATTGATATGAAGAAAAATTTACAATCTGGTGATGTTAATGCAGGTGGGCTAACAAATATTTAATAATAATTATTTTATATTAAATTATTTATATTTTAAATACCTACATTATTTATATATACAGGTTTAACAATGAGTCAACAGCTAATACGTTCAGTGAGTGGTCGACCCGGACTTATATCAGAAGAGAAAGTGTTAAAATTATTTCTCCATTACGCATCTGATCATCCTGAAGCAGAAAGTAAGTGGATTGCCGATTGTTAATTAAAAAAAAATAACGTTTGAAGTTATTTTATATCTACCTTTACAGAGTTTCAGATGCGATTGAAAGCAATACAAAAGCCAAAACAAACAGACAGTCAAACGACAGACTCCCCTGAACAAAGTATTGAAGAAGATTTAAACTGAAATATATTATAAACAACTGGATGTATTTTTTTTTAATTTTAATGCCCCTTAATAGTCAATTTTCTGAGATTACGACCTCTCCAGAGGCCTTCTATTTAAAAGAATGTGGTGAAACTGATACCATATGAAGTTCTTTTGAAACTACAAGTATAATAATTATTATCTATGAAAATCTGACACTGTCAGAACTCTAAACATTGTTTTGGGTTTGTCAAATGTCAAATTTGAAGCCTAATCGTAGTTATTTGTAGGTTACAAACATTTCACGTGTTGATGTAGTTATAAGTGAAAATGGTGCGACACAATAATCAATTACCAAACAATCTCACGCAGCTGCAAAATTTAATAAAAAGAGACCCAGATTCCTACAAAGATGAGTTTCGACAGCAGCTTGCACATTTTGAAACAACTCTCGAGATATTCAACTTGAATCCTACGCAATACAACAAGAAATTAGACGAACAAGCAATGTTTCTAGCGCAAGTAACACAATGCTATCAAAATGATATGAAAATGTTTCCACAGAAAATAGTTGATATTCTCAAAGCTCACAACACCACAATGAATAATGAAATGCGATTATCACTATGCAAGTGCTTAATATTGCTGAGGAATAAAAACTTTATTACGGCTTTCGATTTATTGGAACTATTCTTTTCGCTCATAAAATGTCAGGACAAAAATCTGAGGGAGTATCTGAAGACGCATATTATATCTGATATAAAAAATATGAACATGAAGCATAAAGATATGAAATTAAATTCGACACTACAAAATTTCATATACTCTATGTTACGAGATTCAAATACTAAAACTGCAAAGCTGGCGATCGACATTTTGATTGAATTATACCACAAAAACATTTGGAACGACCACAAAACTGTTAACATAATTGCCGACGTGGGGTGTTTCTCTAAAGTCACCAAAGTAATGGTTGCATCTTTGAAGTTCTTTCTAAGCAGGGAAGAGGAAGAAAAATCTGATTCAGACAGTGATGATGAAGTAGACCCTCGAGAAACCATGATCGCAAACAAGTTTAACAAGAAAACTAGAAAGAGAGAGAAAATGGTTGAAAAAGTAAAGAAAACAGCAAAGAAATTAAAAAAGAAGAAAGAAAAAGCTCCTATATTTAATTTCTCAGCTTTACATTTGATTAACAATGCTCAAGGATTTGCAGAAAAACTGTTTAAGCAAATAGAATCATCAAATGAGAGATTTGAAGTTAAACTTATGACACTGGATGTAATATCTCGGTTGATTGGCTTACATCAATTATTTTTATTCAATTACTATCCATTCATTGCTCGGCTGCTTATGCCACATCAAAGGGAAGTTACTCGGATCCTACAATTTGCAGCACAGGCTGCACATGAACTAGTTCCACCTGAAGTCATAGAACCAGTTATGAAAGCTATAGCCAATAACTTCATCACCGAAAGAAATTCCACTGATGTCATGGCTGTGGGGCTCAATGCTGTTCGAGAAATTTGTGCCCGCTGTCCTTTAGCAATAGGTGAAGATTTATTAAGAGATTTAGTTCAATACAAATCATATAAAGAGAAATCTGTTATGATGGCAGCCCGATCACTTATTCAATTATATCGTCAAACTATGCCTAACATTTTACATAAAAAAGACAGAGGCAGACCTTCTGAGGCATCAGTTGAATTAAAAGACAAGAAGTATGGTGAAATTGATATAAAAGATTATATACCTGGCTCTGAAGTTCTACTTGAAAAGGAAGAAATAAAAGAAAAGAAAAAAGTCCAGAAGAAATCTAAGAGCAAAGACGATTCTGATGATGAATGGGTTGATGTTGGCTCTTCAGATTCGGAAATTAATATCTCTGATAGTGATGAAGATGATGAAGGTGAACAATCAGCCGAGGAAAGTGGTGAAGAAGCTGAAAGTGATGAGGAAGTTGAAGAGGATGATAAAAATGAATCAAATGAATCAATAGATGATAAAGAAGCCGACAAGTCTGCAACTGAAAATGAAAAACCCAGAAAAATTCTGAAAGCCAAAAGAACTATCACCAAACAAGACAGAGAAGAAAAGATCAAAGTGGCTCGTGAACTGGCTGCAGAAAAAATATTCACCGATGAAGATTTTAAACGTATTGAAGCTGCGCAAATCAAGAAAATGGTTAGTGGCGTGAAACGTAAGTCAAATATAATCGAAGAAGAAACTGAATCCCCTGAACTAGTTCAGCTTTCTGCTATCGAAAATATACACAAAAAGAGAAAGCACGATAAAAGCGCAAGACTTGAAACTGTTCTCAAAGGAAGGGAAGAGAGAGCTAAGTTTGGTTACAAAGATCGCAGGAAGGATGAGAATTGTTCAAAGACCAACAGGGAAAAGAGAAAAACAAAGTCCTATCAAATGGTGAAACACAAAGCAAGGGGCAAAGTTAAACGGTCATTCAAAGAAAAACAAATAGCTTTTAGAAATTATCTTATAAAACAAAAGAAAATGAAATAAACTGTATGTCTTTATTTATTCTTTCAGAATCTGAATAAAGTTATTTTAACATTAATGTGTGTTATTAAATTTATTTTCCTCTGGTAGTTGGTAGTATAATATTTTAAAATCAATTTAACAGCATCCTTTAGTTATCTTAGTATTAGTAACACTTTTTTATGCTTTACATTCGTTACGAAGTTCTCCAATTGTTGCTATTATTACGTAGAATGGAAAACGTGAACAGTGAGTTTCAAAACATTGACATCTAAAATTTGACATATAAAAAGTTTGACATAATAATTGTCACAATAGGGAAAGAGTTATTGTGATTTTAGTGCACATATAATACGAAACTTTTAAAATGTTAAAACCTAAAGCCCTTACTCAAGTTCTGAGCCAAGCCAATACGGGAGGAGTTGAAAACACATTGTAAAAATCTCAACTTCTTATACATTTTATTTAAGTAAACAAATGCATGATATTGTAAAAAATACCCTTATTTCAGATTACTCAATCATCAAGGAGCTTTATTAGCTTATTCGGGTTATAATGACAAGGATGCACGAGTTACTGCAGCAATAGCGAGTAACGTTTGGTCAGCATACGAAAAACATGGAAGAAATGTTTTCAAAGAAGATAAATTGCATTTGATATTAGTTGATTGTTTGAATGGAAAAATAGCAATAACTCAAGTAGCTAATCTATTATTATGCCTTTATGCAAAGGAAACTGTTGGTTTTGGTATACTTAAGGAAAAGATTCATGCAATAGCCCAATATTTGGAAGGACCATTAAAGCAGGTAGCTACTTCGTAAAACAAAACTTAATAGTGTCTTTCTTAACTTTACCTAAGAAGTTGAATTATGGCTTTTTAAAACTATATAATCTAAATAGATTTATAAATAATATATAATCATTTTTATTTATGTAATGTATATTTAATATACATTCTAATTAAGTTCTTTAGCAAGATAAAGATATAGGGATATCGTCAGGGATAGTACAAATCTGTGTAAAAAATATTAGGTAATTCTGTATATCTGCAATGGAAGCAGATTATCGGAAGAAAGTTGGAGCTGAAATATTTTCTAAATTAATGACTTTTAAGGTTATTTTTTCACAATTAGTAATAAATTAAAAACTAATTAATTTGCACTATCCCGGCGATATTATATTGTTACTGCAGAAATGAGTTTTTATGGCTTATATCAGAACTGAATTTAAAATTACTAACTTGAACTGATGTACCTATGAGAATATTTCAAGACTATAACAGACATGGTGCCTTTATGAAAGTAATAATGTATAACTAAATGGTATAAACATTTGCACTGTAGGTTTATTTCATATTAGTTTGTATGAGTAATAGCATTTGAAAAAAACATTAATGTCCTAAATGAACATTTACGGAATGAAAAAAAAAATTGTTTTTAGTCTTTGGTTTAAGAGAGTTGCAAATGAGTGCTAATCCTCAATCCAGTCTGTGGCTAGATTTGTAATATATGTTATTAAAAAAAAATGTTTTTATCAGCAATTGATTTGTTAGTCATGTATATAATGTAGAAGAAAAGTGGAACTGTTGTATGTTATATCTATAAAGCATTTTATGTTATCAATTGTTTATTTCACTTATTAAATATATAAGAACTAATATTTGATTTATGATTAAAATATTTTTCATATGCCAACACACTTCCATAAAACAATTATTTAACATTCATCTACAATCTACGTAATAATTCAAGTTGATATGTTCATCATATTTGCATTCTGAACTTGTATAAATTTTTGGTAGTTTATTCTAATTTTCCTTTGTTGTGTCAAAAATATTTGTTTTAAATTGTATAGGCTGGTGTTAAACAATATAAAGAATAATATTTGTATGAAAATTTATTAATCATAAAACTTATTTAATATTTACAAAATACAGTTCATTTCCTTATAAATTAAAACCTTGATTAAAGATACATTTTGTTGCACTGGTAAAAACCATTTTCATGTCCTTTAAAGTTTAATGCATTCTTTTTATTAAATCTCTTGCATTATATCACTTTCGTTTTATTACTCAGATATAATTTTAATTCAGGGTTTTAAACAAATTGAAAATACTATTGGTTGAAGTGGATAAATTCTGTGGCCGAATATATTGGTGACAAAACCAAAACTGTCTGTGTATCGGTAGGCGAAATACAAGGTATACCTCATACGATCATGGATCTTATACGTGTTCAATACATTTCTACGGTTACGGAACATGTTCCAGACCAGCCATGTTTGTGTATTCGAGAATTTTCAAGCGTGTTTTTTTAATGGAGCTTATGGTTCCTTAGGAAACCAAAATCACCAAAGACTATGCCATCGAGGTCAATAAATATTACGAACTCACTAAGAATAAGTTCGTCGTAGAATGGTAGATTGGCAGGTAACGAAATCGTTTTACAACCTAAACGACTTGGGCCTGTTCAGACCTAACATTAATTCACTCTTGGAAATTACTTCGAAGGCAGCCCTAGTAGGTAGGTTCTTTTCAAATTTGAGAAGCTTGGACAGTTGAGGTGATCGTTTAACGCGCGTTAGATAGGGGTCCCTTAAACCTACACCTGGGTCGCAAGTCCCAGGGACTGTTGAAGCTCCTCTCACTGTAACGAAGGACCCGGCACCCGCACGGTGAATACATTGGATGCTGAGAATTGTTCGTCGTCGATCTTCTATGTTTTTATTATTATTAGATATAGTTTTTCCATATGAGTAGGTACTCCAACCGATGCGGTATATGCTGTATGATAAGTTTTCTTTTATAATCGATCAATCGATCACTGCATAGTCTTAATAGAATACTGGATATCCAAATTGCAGTAGTTTTCTTGTATATAATCCAATCAGCGATCCCACCGCTAACCTTGAACCCTTCACAATATGTATTCATCTAATGTTGTTCATCGTTCTGTAGATGTGAGTACAGCGTGGCCGGCCTATTTCCGGCCGCCATACGTCCAGCGAAGTCGGGCCTCCGGTGCGGTCTCGGAGCCCCGAGCAGGGCGTCCAGGGCGCTCCGCGGGGCCCATACATCCGACCCCCCACTCACAGGTGATAGGGGGGAATCCGTTGTAGCCTTTATTACTGTGGCACGGGAATCACCTGGAATATAGAGAAATAATTCATTAAATTTAAATTGCATGTTTTTAGCTAAGATATGTATATATATATTTTATTTGGGTATTATGTATAGGAATGAACACGTCAGTTTTTATGAAAAAAAAAAACAATTATATTAACCTAGTATTGTAAAATAGATTCTTTATTTTATAAAATATTTTATTTGCATAGTGAAAAGAAGATAATAGAATAATTAATAGTAGATTGGAGTATTTTTGGTCGTAACTAAAGAAATTGCATATTTAAATCTAATTCAATAAAAAAACTAAAAAATTATCAACAATACATAATAAACCAAAAAAATAATCACACGACATTTATATTTTCCAGTGGCAATACTAGATGATTATCTATACTAATATTATAAAGCTGAAGAGTTTGTTTGTTTGTTTGTTTGTTTGAAAGTGCTAATCTACGAAACTACTGGTTCGAATTGAATAATTCTTTTTGTGTCAGATAGTCCAGTTATCGAGGAAGGCTGTGGGCTATATAACATCACGCTACGACCAATAGGAGCAAAGATATAGTGGTAAATGTGTAAAAAACGGGAGGAATTATTTCATCTTTGAAGCCTTCCGTTGTGTGCACCGTGAAAACGGTTCAAGATAAACAAAAAATATGTATTAAAGAATAATAGCTCTTTTAATGATCTAAAAAACAGTCCGCGACAGTATATGTCTATCTTTTAAGATTAACTCACAAAAACCGTTTTTATCGTACCTAATTTGGTCGAAATAATTTGTTTAAGTTGTATCAACATAATAATATTAATCTTTATTCAAATAAACAAATAAATATGTTGTTGGTTAAGAGTACTTCATTGTGAATTAAAAAAAAAACATAAGTTTTATCCTGAAAATTCTACGGGAACTCGACCATTCCGAAAACCCCGCAAGAACGGGAACTATGTGGGAAGAACCAAAAATCTGCCGGAAGTCACTATTCCACGCGGACGAAGTCGCTTCAAAAACTAGTATATTATATGTCAGATCTTAATATCGTTATTTATTACTGAACTTATACAACTCTTGCTGTACTGAACTGTTATTGTTATAGAGTTGTTATTCTGCTGTGTATGTATGTACGAGGCGTCTAGCCGTCGCTGTTGTTATTCTGCTCTGTGTGTGTATGTATGTATGAGGCACCTCACGTTGCTGTTTTTTATTCTTCTGTGTATGTGTATGTGTGTGTGTTCTCTCACCGTCACCATTGTTATGTGTCCTGGTGACCTGCAGAGCCCGTAGTAGCGCCCTGTGCGCGGGGGTCACGGCGTGCGCCCTCACTAGAGCCTCCGCCTCGCTCCACACTTGACGCCACTGCTCCTCGCGACGACCGCTCGACTTACCGCTGAATACACACATAGAATAATCATTAACGACATAATACACTGTGAAGTATTAATGTTTGTATACGATAAATATATTCGTCAGAAACTATTGATATTTTTAATTTTTATCTAAATTAATTCTGTTAATAAACACTTATAAAATTGAAATTATGTGCGTATATTATTAACGCTGAGTCAGACAAGCCTTTTCTTTACTTGTTTATTATATTTCTGTGCACATTCGTTAGTTTAAATATATTATATGACTTTAAAGCGATATCACAGAATAGTTCTTTATTATGTCATGTCTGTCTGTGTGTGTGTGTGTGTACCGAGCAGCGGCGGGCAGGTGCGGCGCGGGCAGGTCGTGTCTCGCCTCCATAGCCAGTAGCGACATGAGTACGGCCCGGCACTGCTCCACTTCTTCGTCAGTTAGAGACTCCTGCACCACCAGACGGGTCAACGGCTCCATCACCTACACACACACACATATATATATATATATATACATAGAGAACAGATTACACACACATATACATAGAAAACGGATTCACACACACACACACACACATATATACATAGAGAACAGATACACACACACATATACACATAAAGAACAGATTACACATACACATTCCGTGGAACAGTCGTCAGGGTTCCGCCTACTTTCTAATTGATTAGTAAACGTATAGTGTTAAACAGTGTGACGTCATCTCTAAGGTTAAGAAAACCTATTGTATAGGATACAAATATTATATTACCATGACAGTTGGAAGTAATTTGAAACTTCTTTTTAATAGAAAATCACACAAATTTTTCAGAGATTTTTTTTCAGAACTTTTTTCAATTTGTTTCCTTTATTTTAAGGACAGTGAGACGAACATACATATACTTATATATCGTATTATACATACGGAGCCCATATTGAATATGAGTGTGGACGATATAGTGAGCGGCCAGTAGGTAGTGTGTCTTTGTAGCCGGGCCCGGGCGCGCGTGTTGGCGCCTGCACCGCGCCCCGGGTACAGTTTATTCTGATGCATTAGAGCTCCGAACTCCTTTATACTGCACACGTATAACATTATTAAAAGATTTATAGACTTGATGTATATCAATTTTTGGCTACCAGGATTCGAATCTGCTATTTACGTGGTATATTTTCAGCCACTTTGCCAACTGAGCTATCGTGTCTTATGCAATTAGAACAATAAACAAAGACGACTTAATTTAAATCGATCTCATATAAAAAATAGACATCACTGGTTGACTTTATATCTAGCTTTAGCCAGGGTCTGCCTAATCTATAAGTATATAATACTAGCCGGTAGTCAGTGACCCTGCCCCCAGCGCCTTCAGACAGTGCGGGCGGGTCGTCGTGAGGTGATCTTCCTCCCAAAGCTCCTATCCATAGTTCGCCGCCTTGAGCTGCTAGCACGTGGGACGCTGAACGACCTCCGCCCTTTTTACTGAAAAAAAATAATTGTATATACAGGGTGACTGGTGAATTACTATCGATATTTGAGGACGTGATATTTGACGATCATATATGACGAAATAAAAATTAATATAACATAAATATTAATAAACTTCTAAGTAAAGTTAACCAAAAGTTGTGTAATTAATTACGCATCGTATGAACACCCTACAGATTACTCTACACTACACACTCACACATACGCGTGCGGCGGCGTGTTGCTGTATCAGCACGCCGCCGCACGCGTCCACACTAGGAACACTTGGAACGTGTCAACACTTTATTTATTTATATGGAAATTTTGTCAAAAATTAAGTGCCTATTTTTTTTAGATAATTCGAATGAGAATCATGTACCGAGTATTCTCCTTAAATATTGATAGTAATTCACCAGTCACCCTGTATACAGGGTGTATGAAAAACTGTGTCAACCCTTGAAGGCACGTATACATATAAGTATAAGCTTATTATAAAAAATAGTATAACTTAAAAAAAATCAAGCAGAAGTCAGTCAGTCAGTCAGAAAATATGTTCCAAACATCTGACTCATACAAGGTCAAGACACCGTATAGTCGCTACGACGCATGCGTGACCATTGACCGCAGGCGACGGGCCGCCGGCGTTATTATTACTATTCTGTTAGTTGTCGTATAGAGATTTGAAAGTGTAAAAATTAGTTATATCGATAAATATTCTATCGACATTTTCAATATTGGTATAAATAGTTATGCTTTTAACATTAAAATAATTTCATTTAAAATAACTTTTATTAATAATAAATATTATAATTTGAAACTTGTTCAGGTAAATTAACTACATATGTTGTATTATTAGGATAAATCGTTAATCTATTTCTGTTAAAAATGATGTTTTACAATCAAACATACAGTAGGACCTCGATTATCCGGACTAATTGTTGTCGGTAGGCATCCGGATAATTGAAAGTCCGGATAATCCAATATATGAAGAAAAACGGGCTTTTTGCATATGTACATATGTAGTCTGTACCATACATATGTAATGTTAGGTGTTTATTTAAAACAACAAATACATATGAGCGAAAATCAACGTTTATTAAAAAATTGTACATAATGTACGTATAAGTGTTATAAATAGGGCCCGGATTAATATGTAAATACATATTTTTAATTTACGCGATTTTCGGTCTAGAATGTGTTTTTTACATGAATTGTCATATTTAGACTGTGAAAAACCAACTTTTATTTTCCATATTTTACCATATTTCAAAGTTAAGTCCATATTTTACAAGAAAATGTCACAATCATCCATATATTCACAAAAAACATAAAATTTACGTTCCCGCCACTAATGTTTTGGATAAAAATAAAGGATTTAAAACGCTAAAAAATTAACAAAATTTTGTGTGAAAGTTTCGAGGCCTGTAGACATGGCTTACACAATTACTGAATTATTATTGAAGAGTTTGTAAATGTAAGTAGTTTTATTGTGTTACATTATCGATACTGATAACGTAGTTAAGAGGGTTGACACAGTTTTTCATACACCCTGTATAGAAGGTTATATAGGTTGAGGTGTGTAAATGGATTTTAAACTTTATATTAAAATATTATTAAAACGAAGGTAATGAGATCTAAAATTTTCGCAAGTACTCATTTAAATGAAACTAATATTTTCGCATTTACTAGGCGTTTTTATTTTTGACTATAAACTACATACTTCCGACTTTACATCAACCGTGATCACGGTTGCTGTAAAGTAGCTGAAACATAGTAAATCCGAAAATATTAGTTTCGTTTAAAATGAAGGTAGCTAAAAGGACAAAGCATTTCATAGTTGGCTTTTGTAGAGGTTCTTGTGAGGTTTCGGCGCTATTTGGAGTGAGTAGTGCTCACAGAACCCACATTCGATTTATTACTTTCTTGGCCTAATGGGTATTCATTATATATTGATATGACACTATAATTTTTAATTTAAAGTAAATATCATATAGCAATCAATAATTATAATTTTTGTACTAATACCGAATTATAGAGGTGAAAATCGAAAAAATCCTAGAAATCACATATCACTTATCTTGTCTCAAAAAAACATTAGCCGAGATAATTCGATGAAGACCTCATTGGACATCTCAATAATAGAAGTTTCCCAATTAACGAGGTTTCACTGTATCCAATATATTACCTTAGAAATATTTCTATATATTATGTGTTGTTATACCAACCTGGGTAGTTCGAGTGTAACTGATCGTCCATTGAGTAAGAAGTTAACGAGACACGCGGAGGGTCTTGAGGCGGCGTCCGCGGGCGTCACTCGCCATAAGGGTCCGTGACAGCCGCCCGCACCGCCCTCCGCGCCGCGGGGGGTCCACCAGCGGAGCACCACCTGGGTAAAATATATATATATACTAGCTGCGCCCCGCGGTGTTACCCGCGGATTTCCAGGGTAAATGTTTTTTCTAGACGTCAGCTTCATGTATACAAAATTTTATCAAAATCGGTTCAGCTGTTTGAGCGTGAAGAAGTAACAAACATACACACACTCACAAACTCGCTCAATTATAATATTATGTAGTAGGATATGTAAAAACTCGATTATTCATTGAAATTAAACTATTATTTTCGATTGTCGTTATCATCATTGTACAGGCATTTGCTCGCTCGTACACTGAAATGACATAAATTGGTAATGTTTGATAGATTGATTAATTTGATATAATATATGATTGATTGATGAGAACGCTCACTATGCTTGGTTACCGAATGCGAACTGAAATAAATTATAAGTACCTAATTGATATTTTATAATCGAACAAAAATAATGATGCGTGGTTTTACATGATTCCGTAATTATGTCGAGCGTAGCTTGCACAATCATCATCATCAGCCTATCAAGGCCCACTGCTGAGCTGCCTCTTCTCACATGGAGAAGGATTGAGTATCAATCACCACGCTTGCTCAAGACGGGTTGATTTCAAACTTATAATTGTGAAATTATAAGGCAAGGTTTCCTCACGATGTTTTCGGATTTTCGGATGCACTAAACGATTTTGATTAATATTTTCTAACACTAGATAGTCCGGACGTTTCGGTTGCTATAAAGCAATTACGTCAAGTAATTGCGGACAGACGGAATAATATTATATGAATCATTCTGTAATATTATGATACAACGTGATAGCAAACATTTATTATGACATATTTGTATTTCCTTATTATCATTTAATTACATTTTTACCTATAACTGTAGGTAATAGCATTCTTTAATAATTAGAAGTATCTAGCAAATAAACAGTAATGGAATTCAAAAATTAAAGCATTACCAATTACTAGAAATACCTAGTGATAACTAGTAGTATCTTAGTATCTTTAAGATAATATTAAGAAATTAGCAATATCCATTAGGGGCCATCCATAAAGTACGTCACACGTAAAGTGGGGGGGAGGGGGTCGACAAAGTGTGACATAGTGTGACAAGGGGTGGGAGGGGTCCTAAGTTTCGTGACATCACATTTCAAAATCTACTATTAATTTCAGCTATACAACATTTTAAAGATTTTCATTTGGATGCTGTTTACATTGCCACAAATGCCCCAGGAAGAAGTGCTTTAACAGAGTAGAACGACGAATGGCACCTCTTAGTCGTAAACTTACTGGTGTTGTATTTAAACACGATAATTTCGGTTCACATCTCGATTCCAGTAATAAAACTACTGACCTGGACTTGGAAAACGAAACTTTGAGAGTGCAGGCACAGTACTGAGTATGACTGTGAGTTGTGACTGCCATGCCAGTTATAAATAATTTAAAAGAGTTTCTTTTTCTTTATATTCATTAGTTTATTTTTTTATTATTGTTTCAAATAATTGATATTTTGTTGTTTTCATAAAAAAATACTCAATTTAAATGGAAATAATACTAATTTCGGAACTGCTGCTTTAATTTAATAATTTTTCGATGTTAAATTGCAAAACATGTGACGTCACACTAGGGGGGGGGGGTCTCAGAAATGTGACCACTTGTGACAAGGACGGGGGAGGGCTCAAAAACTCATGAAATTAGTGTGACGTATTTTATGGATGGCCCCTTAGTAGTTAATATAATCCGTTAGACTTAAGCTGAGCTTTGCATTTGTGTGAGTGAAAGTAAGAGTAGAGTTAGACGAACAACTTTTAGAATTATTATTTTTTTAGTATTTAAATAGATACATAACATATGTAAGTGCTATAAAATAAGAAAAACTTGTAAGAATCAGATGGAAATATTATGAATTTTATGAAAAAAAAAAATTGATTAATATATAATAATTTTGAAAAAACTATAGAAATTCTTATTCACTTGACATTGCGTTTTCAACATTTGATTATGCTACCAGTACAACAGGTGAAGTGAGGAAGGTGCGGGGCGGAGTAAAAGCAGAATAAACCGGTTCAAAACTAGAAAAGAACGTTTCATTCAAAAATTTGACATCTCACCTACACTATCCGTGTGCACTCACACAAATGCAAAGCTCAGCTTAAATCAAACGCACTATAGTATACATATATCAGTAAATATTAATATTCATGAGTAGTATGTATAAGTAGGGTATATATATCTCACCGACTCAGTCGCCTCAGCGGCTGTCTGTGCCGCTCTAAGTCCCGCGTGAGCCTCCGCCGAATGAATGATCTCCACGTCGTAATTTGCACTTGACGTAGCGTTTTGTTCTTCCTTTAGAAGAAAATTACAAATATTATAATATATATGTACTGTTTTAAAGAATCTTTTAAAAGCAAATAGAAGACAATTGTCAGCTTTAAAAGTATAATGGCAACACTGATGTCAGATAACATCATAGTCCTAATAATATAAAATCAATAGTGTTGCCAGTTACCTTCATAGGGATGCCAGTAACAGTGGTAATGGCTAGCCGGTAATGTGGCAACACTAGCCGTCCTAGAAGACCTGCTAATAGACTAGCTCTACACACTATCACCTCAACACCCATTAGACCACCTGCCATCTGTGAAATAATAAGCATATATGAAATATGTATATACACTTAGTACTTACTCCTATGAAAATTGAGAAAGCATGAGAAATTAATATGGGCTATGTGGGTAGAAAATAATGAAAGTGCAAAAGATATATAAGGCAGTTATGACAAGCCCAGCGCCAGTGTAGCACTTTGATCATCAAGAGAATGTCACTGACTCTTGTATATGTTAGTTTAAAAATATTTAAATTAAATCAATATATAAATATTACTTTTAATTTAATTCTTATTATCATTACAGTGTAGGTATTTTGGCTTTTAATTATACAGTATGTTAACTAACAATTCACGTTCCCATTAATCCGCAACAATGTAGCATCCATACATGCTAAAAAAAATATTACCAATCGAAAACAAAATGTTTTTTATTTTTTTTTATTTAAAAAATAATCATTAAAAATATTAAATTTACATGTAAAAGAAACATCCTGTACACGCATATTTGAAGAACGGCAACGTCGCAACTTACTTATAAAAGACGGGCCGCGTATGCGGCATTCGATTGATCTACGATTTTAAAGTGTCACCCGACCCCTTCCCCCGAACGTCCGCGAAATTTTATTTTTTAGTATTTACTATTTAGTAATCCCACGCCGCTGACCGGGATCGCACGTCTATTATTTCCGCATTACTACGTCTACGTATTTTCGTGTGAAAGATGCCGCGTTCTCAGTTCAGTGCGCAGGAGTATGTGAATATGGTGCTCATTTATGCTGAGTGTGACTATGATGGTGCACGTGCTCTGAGGATGTATGCTGAGAGGTACCCTAATACACACCAACCGCGGAATTCTCGTGTAATTGTGAGTGCCCTGGTGCGTATGCGTAATAATGAGCCGGTAGTGCCGCGTCGTTCAGGTGGCCCGCGACCCGTGATTTCAGTGCGACAGGAAGAGAACGTGCTAGGGCATTTTGAGGAGGAGCCCGGTTCAAGCACCAGAAGAGCCGGCCGCCTGTTCAATATGAGTCACGTCGTAGTGTTTAAAATATTAAAGAAAAACAAGCAGCATCCGTACTCACTTCAAAAAGTGCACGAAAATAACCGTCGGCGATTGCAACAATGTGTAGACAGAGGAGGTCAGCATATCGAGCAGTTCAAAATCTAGGTAAGTTTTGACATTATTTAAATGTATCATAATACCTTAAACATTTCGAGAACATAAAAAAAAATAACACTAAACGAGTGTGCCACAAAATTAATAAGTTCAGAACTCTTTCCTAAAACTGCTTAATACCTCCATGTGAACTGTAAATAAATTGTGTAATACCACCATGATCATTTAAATGCTAGCCTAAACTGTGGTTTAAATAAACTTTCATCCAACTTAATATGTAAAGCAAATTCATGTACCCAGCGAGTAGACCTTCTGTATTAACTAGTATATTTTGTTTATTTTGTAACAACGAGCGGGCGGCGACATGACGGCGACGTGTCGGCCGTTGCGTGCAAATTCTGTCTAATTCTCTGTATTATTATTGTAATGTTATTGAAACGTGGCTTAGATATGATGGTTGAATTTGTTTTTTTTATTTACTGTTTGCGAATAGGTACCTCAGTGACACGTTCCTTAGTCAGCAATACATTTGAGACGGGTTAAGTGTTATTTCTAAAACTAAACATACATTTAAAATGTTTATTTTTACTGTTAACAATCCGACTACGTGTCTTTATAATTCAATATGCCGCCACTACAAAAGGCGCCGCTCGGCATCGTGCGTATTGCGACGTTGCCACTTTCGGCAATGCTACTACGCTAGATACATACGTTCAATTCCGCGCCACATACATATAGGAGGTTTCGAAATTATTGTGAATAAATTATTATTTTTTTATTTAGATTATTTTGTGCTTATTTTTCTATGCTGATATATTAATTTTAATCTATTAGTGATATATATTAACGTGTTCAAGGGAACGCCATTTGCTGTATAACATACTGTATATTAACACAGAACTCACTAACATAATATTTATAAATATAAATTGATTCATACAATATATGTATTTAGTTTAATACCTCAGTGAGTGGTTGGTTGGTAACCCTTGAGTCAGTTTTTTCCGGTGTAACATTTATCACTATCAAGTGACAGTAATGTATTGCAAGGGTCCTGTAATATAAGGATTTAATACATCAATAAAGGAAGCGATATTATTAAAAGTGTAGCTTCTATATCTTATAAATACTATTCTATTCACACAACTAATTTATATCTTGAATAACCCATTAGAATTCACTGTACAATGTTATTTTAACATCCCAAAAGTTTTAAATCATGCAAGAGATTTCACCTTTCACATGATTCATTAATAATAAATCTCTATTAATAATTTCACTTTACCAATTCATTATTGTAATATTTAGTAAATTCAAAACAAATAAAATATATAGGATATAAAATTCATCAACACATCATTTTTATCCTCTTAATTAATAGCTACATACTACTACTTTTATATTTGTATACTTTATATATGTATATTTTTTTTATACGAACTGTGTATTGTTTCCATCTACAGGTGTAGGTTGTGGTTCAGATGCCTTCTGGTTTTGTTGCACCAGAGTGTTCACAGCTATGTCTATTAAACTGCGTATAGAGTCATCATCTCTGGCGCTTGTTATACACAGAATACGACCACTGAAAGAAACAAAAATGCTTATATGATTTTTAAATAGGTAACTGTTACAAGTGGCGCCATCTGTGCCGTATCAGTTATAATTATTATATTGACACATACTATAATTCATAAAATTACTTTTATGACTGATTATAATTAATAATAAACTTATGTACTTGTAAATATAGCAGGGATAAAATTGTGGGAATCTGATACTAAATTTTGTGTTTTATAGTTATAATATATTAGCTATTAATTATATAGAAAACAATATAATTAATTATATGTAATATTGATTGCTACATTTGGGAAACAACTTGTATTATAAAGCTATAAATACAGCAATTTTTTTAGGACATTACTAGAATACACACAGAACATTAAGAATAAAGACACAAGACATCAACACAAGATTAATAACAATTCTGATTAGAAATTTTATATCCTTATATGAGAACTAACTAACTAGAACTAAAAATGTAACAAATTAGTTAAGAAGCTAATAACTTAGTACCGATTCTGAAAGAGGCTATCTGGTGGTCTAGCCGCCTGAACACCAGTGGGTTCCCCTAGGGCTTCGATAGCTGCACAGAGACCCACTACATCCCCACCAGCTCCACGACGCACTGGCCCAACCAGGCATAGACCATTTAATAACTGCAAATATAACCATACCATTAATAAAATACAGTCCATCTAACTTTACCATATCCCTACTAATTTTATAAATGCGAAAGTAACTCTGTTTGACTGTTACGCTTTCACGCCTAAACCACTGACCTGATTTTAATGAAATTTGGTACAGATATAGAGTTGACCGTGAAAAAGAACATAGCATAGGTTTTTATCCCAGACTTTTGAAAGGTTCTTTTGGAAATGCGATATAAAAGAACTCTGTGTGGGCGAAGCTGCGGGCAGAAAGCTAGTTGTTAATAAAGTGAGGTCTGTCTGACTTAACCATATCATTAATAAAGTATGGTAATTCCAAATTAACCATACCATTAATAAATTAGAATCTGTCCAACTTAGCCATATCATTTATAAAGTCAGTCTAATTTAGCCATACTATTAATGAAGTAAAGACAGTCTTCAGTCAATATCTAGTTAAATGGAAGAAATGTACTAAGTATTTTACATTTATTATTTATCATTGCGACTTCTTCTTATACCAAATTTAATCTCTTTGACATGCTTATGTATTTTTAGTTTGTATATATTAAAATGACTTACATGTGTGAAATTTTGCTGACTTATTGCCCATGTATTCAGAATGTGTGCAGCAAAGTCGCTTACAACAAATCTCACCTAAAAATAGAAAAAAATAATACAGAATCCGTCATAGGAATAAATAGGAAGATATTTTTAGCTTCAGGTAACTTTATAAACAAGAAATCCAGTTTGAAATATTATAATTTTGAATTATTAAATAAATGTTAAGATCAAAAGTTTAATAACAGGTAGAATATGCTAAATATTCGTAAGCAAATAAATAAATAAATAAGCATAAAATATTGTCTTCTTAATAAACTTTCGAAAATTTTAATATAAATGAAATATTTTTTTAATCACTGAAACTTACTAATTTTCCTTCAGGAAATAAGTCCCACACGATACGGCAATATTCAACAGCAGCCTCTACGCTGCAGGTCCAAAGAGACTTGCAGACGGCTGGAAGCGGTACGTACCCTGGACCGCGACTTTTTGCAACATCGAAATCAATTGGATTCTCTGATGATATACCGAAATAAGGTGTATGATCTAGTACAAATACAGTTTTATGATTCGTTGGAAACATAATTTATTATTTTTATAGTAAAACTAAGTGAACATAAGTTATACAACATGTGATTAGGTTTGTTGTTAGATCGTTGGGAGCAATACATCCAATATTAATATGCAATACGCTCCGGGCTGACATCTGATGATTTCAAAACTGAATGTCTAATATGCTCTTGACAGTCAGCTGGAAATTAAGTATAGATGCCAAAAGTTGCTATCATGGCGCTAGTGAACTGGAGAAGCTAAAAACATACACAGATTATAGGACGCTAGGGATTGCTAACTCCGATACACTAGAGTAATTCCATAATCTTTACCGGTAAATGAGTTTATAAGTTTTTTATTTAAGAATATTTATTTTATTTATATCAAAAATTCTAAAGTGGATATTAATTTCTGATACAACTTGGAAGAGAATGGAAAAAAAACTTAAATTGAAAACCATGGAAAAATTTTTAAGTAAACATAGTATTATAAATGACTTATAAAATTTATAAGATAAAGATTCATGGCTTCCATTTTCTAATCATTAATATTTTTTCAAAAGTACTTTTAAAACCTTAAATCTAAAATTAATACGTATTGTCTGTTTTTCTGAAATATTTTTAATCTATATTAAAAATCGAACCTCAAAATCACAAAAGCAAGTAATGGCTACATCTCTACAGTGAATGTGAGAGAATGATAAAATGGTGCATTCGTCGATCAAACCGGGCCACACATTTGAAGCCAGAAATTAAATTAGACATCCACCATTTTGTTTATTTTTGCGAAAATACTTCGTAAGTCGAATACGATAGTGAAGTTTTTAGTATTCGTCGCGGTTATAACGTTAATTAGTTATTCTGGCAATGATTATAAGATTAGGAATGTGCTATTAGCGTACACTGTGCTGTCGGGCCCTTGTGTTGAAATTTGCAGACATCGGCCGCGCCGCTAGTAAACACTCTTTAAAAATTAACATCCTACCATCCAAGAAAAGTAAACGCCCGGCTGCGGAGGGTGCTCGAGTCGATGAGAAAGGTCCGTTAAAATTCGTTCAGCGAATTTTTAGCAAGCCCAAAGGGAATTGCTCCCTGTCGTTAAAGGTAGGTGTCGAAGTGATGTTTCAGTTGTCGAACTAGTGCGTTGAGTTTTTGGCTAAAGTGAACGATTAATTTAGGAAATTTCTAAGAGTTGTGGGCGACAGTCCTCGGTGGCGCGCCCGGCTAACATGAATCACACACCTGCACCCGACAGGCCACAGCATGACCCTCACGTGAACCAAGTCGAAGAAATGGAGACGCAGGAAGGTGAGCTACGTACGTGTCAATATAAACGATATACTTGTGTCGTTAATTGTACACGCTTTACGTATTATCGTGTTGCTGATACGTTATGTGTACGCGATATTTCAACTAAAACCAGTCACAATTAGCTTACGACACAGTGACATCAGTTATTATGTGTATATTCGACATTTATGTTTACATTTTTGTACGTATATTATTGATTTAATTATAATCACTTTTACACTATAATTTACTTAAGTTTACACTGAGTTGAGTGATGAAGCATTATCAAACAATTTCATCCAATACATCTTTCAGGTGCAATAAAATAAAAGTCTTTGTTTCAATTTGTAAAAAAGTGCAAGTTGGTTTCTAAATTTAGAATTCTTTGTTTAGCATTAGTGTGATAAAATATGCAATATAAAAATATTTTTATTCAAAAAATAGTAGTTTAAAGGTAAAATGTTAATTTAATTAAGAATTAATTTACTTTAGAGTAATTAATGATACCCATTTGAAGTGAAATTGTTTTTAAATGTTGATAAAAGGGCTATTTATAAAAGAATACTTATTGACACCTTCAGTTGGATGAATAAAAATATACATGTATACATTTATATCAAGATTTTCCTATATTAATATCCCATACACTATATTAATTTATACACTTATACAAATTAGAATTTGTCATGTAATAGATAAAATACATATGTTTTAAGTGTGTTGATTGTTGTTACTCTCATGTAGATAGGAAAAATATTTTTTTTGATAAGAATTAAGTCACATGTCCATCATATACAATTCTTAATAAAAAATTCACTGAACTTCTTATTAACTTATATATATTCTTCAAAAGAGTTTCTATATGTTACATATTTAATATTTGTATGATGTTTATTTATCATATAATTTTTTTTTCTCTACATGTATACACTATCTGTACTTGACTTTATTTTTATTCATTAAGAACTTTTTTTATTCATTGTTAAATGTTGATAATGAAAAAAAAACAGCTCAGTCAAATTATGTAAAACTTAATAATTAATTATTGTGATGCTAAGTATGAGATATATTTAAAAGTTATATTTTTAGGAAAATAAAATAACTGTCTGTCGATAATTGTGTCGTTCAAAAAGGTTTTATATATTGCCTATATTTATGTCAAAATAAAAGAAAAAAAATTCAAAATGACTGTCAATAAAACAATGGATGCACAGTTTTTGCTGTACACATTAATATATTTGTTTGCATGTTAAAAGTGTCTTAAAGTAATGTCTAGTTGAATGTGTTGTATTTTTTTGTTTATATTTTACATTTAATATGTAATTTTTTTTTGTAGTGGAAACTGTTGATACATGCACAGATAAGATTTGGATGGAGGAACTTATCAAGGGACCCAATGGGGGCGTAGTTATGAGTGATGTTATGAAAAACCAAGAAACTTCATCCACTGATATGGGGGTTAGTAGAAATATATGCTAACTCTCTCATATATATAAGGAGATCTAATATTTTCGCGATTTTTAATCTTTTAAATAAACCTAATGGCTAATATGTATCGAATATACTACGCGACTTTATTTTTGATGAAAACTAGTCACTCGTCTGTCCATGATCACGGTTGCTGAATAGAAGCCGAAACGTCGGGATTACGTAGTATTTATCATAAATAAAGTCGCGTAGTATATCTGAAAGATATAAGTCTCATTTAAATCTCTTATTTATATTATCAAATGTGATGTATTTATGTTGATATAGTAAGAAACTGAATTTTATATATTTTTTAATCAACAACCTGCTTATATCTCACATTATCTGTATGATTTTACTAATATGTAATTTATAATTTCAGTTGGCATGTTTGGACGCGGAAATGGAAGACGATGAAGCAAGATCGGAAGCAACTTTTAGGTTCACAGTTCATAATTTCCGTAACCTGAAGGATTCTGTTCTATCACCTCCATGCTATGTCCGTAACCTGCCATGGAAAATCATGGTGATGCCCCGTCAAGCCCCATCCCCTGACCGTCAACAGCAGAAGTCGTTGGGTTTCTTCCTTCAGTGCAACGGGGAGAGCGAGTCCTCATCGTGGTCCTGTCATGCGATGGCCGAACTGAGACTGCTCTCCCACAAACCCGAAACTGAGCCGTTCTATAGAAAGATTCAGCATTTGTTTTATAGGTGAGTAGTGATATTTAAATAACTCTGTCATTTACATAATCGATGTCAACATTAATGTGATTCTGGTTAAATTAATTTTTGTTCAGATTTAAAATAAATCTTTAAATGAATTAATTTGTGACTATATACATATTTAAATGTGAATACCAATGACATTTTTATGTTATAAAGTTATTTTAAGCCCTCTTAAATATATTTGGATACAATCACTCGTACCTTTATAAATTTTATATATTATGTATAAAGAATTTTCATATTTTGTATATGGGTATTTTTTTATTGTTAATTATCAATTAAAAAGGTACATACTGGACATTAGTTTTGCAAATAAGATTGTTAATTGTACAAAATTATTATGGAATGAACCCTAGATTACATAAGAATATATGTCATAGAGAAATATTATTAATAGTTATTATAATGTCTTATTTGAACAAAGCAAAAATATATTAAACATTATAAAAGAACAACTTTCTATTTAGACTGCATTTTTATTGAGTCATTTATTGTGTTATAATATCAAAGTATACATATTCCAGTAAGGAAAACGATTGGGGTTTCTCCCACTTCATGTCATGGAATGATGTATTGGACCCCGAGAGGGGTTACATTAAGGATGATTCCATCACACTAGAAGTCCATGTTACTGCGGAGGCGCCCCACGGAGTCTCCTGGGACTCGAAGAAGCACACCGGCTATGTTGGTTAGTTTGAATTGATATATTAAACATATAAAATAATTTATAACATACTAAAACACTCTACAAACTTCTAAAAGACTTGGGCCTCTCCAGAACTTGCATTCTTGGAATGTACTTTGACGGCAGCCCTAGTAGGTTCGTTTCGAATTTGGTTAGGCAGGGAGAGGAACTTGGACAGTGGAGGTAGGGCCCCTTAAACCTACACCTGGATCGTAAGTCCCAGGCACTGTTGAAGCTCCTCTCCCTACAACAATGGACCCGGCACCCGCATCGTAAATCCATGGAATGCTGAGTTGTTTTGTCTCTAACATATTATTTTAACATTATCAACTCATTAATATATGCTTATACTAATAGGATTATGTTATTATATGAATAAATTGTATGTGACTGTGTAAACAAGAACTTAGAAGCTTTAGAACATTTATAAATAGTTCAGTGATCAATAGTTTATTTATATTCTATACACAATAGTGTTGTGATTCCCTTTATATTGAATATTATTTTTGTTCTATAGTTCAGATATATAATATTCCAAGAAAAAAAAAATATATTTATTTATATTTTTATATAAATGCTATGTTTATAGCTTCCATACAATTATTCTAATGGTAATATTATCCTTTAGTATTGCTTATATTTTGTAACATTTCAATCATTTTCTTATCTTTTTAATTCCTGCACTTGTATAAATTTGAAGTCTTTTAAATTTTGGGCTAATTATACCCCAATACTGAATCTCAAACAATTGAAATTACAAAAGTATTCTTTAGATGTTGTAATAATATGACAAGTGATTCTTAAAAAAAAATGCTTGAATCATCGATGCACATTAATGCAATAATTTTTTTGCTTATTTTTAAGTCGAATATTCTATGAAATGCTGCTTCTGTTCTTTAGAATTTAAATTTATATATGAATTAACTAATATTTCTAAATTATTATGAAAAGTTTATAAACATAGTTTGCATTAAAATAGAATCATCATTCAAAGCTATAATGATGATATGGTTATTTTTTTGTTATTTTATTTATAGCACTTGCAATATATTTATTATATATAATTATAGGATATCAAAGGGTAATTATAATTTATTTCTAATATGTTTATAATATATATTTTTTAATAAATGAAATTGTGAAAATTCGAGTACTAAAGTACCTAATTGTGTGGGGTCAAACATTATTAATAGTAACTGCTATATATGTAAATGCATACATATATATAAAATTTTAATTATATTATATTGTTACCAGGTCTTAAGAATCAAGGAGCCACCTGCTATATGAATTCCCTTCTTCAAACTTTGTATTTCACCAATCAGTTGAGGAAAGCTGTTTACAAAATGCCCACAGAGTCAGATGACAGTACACGGTAAAATATTATTATATACAATCTTCTATCTTCTATCTTCTATCTTCTATATATATAAAAATGGATTGCTGTTCCTTAGTCTCGCTAAAACTCGAGAACAGCTGAACGGATTTATCTTATCTTAGTCTTGAAATATTCGTGGAGGTTCAGGGAAGGTATAAAAGCTGAAAAAAATTGATTTATTACTGGGCAAACCATAAAAACAGCCCTTTTCTATTTCCCATACAAACGTTTTTTTTGACGTTAGATTTGACAACTAACTAATATGTCAATCATTCTGTCGCACTTCAAAACATGGAGATTTATGGCTTACAGGTAAACTCCAAAAATATAAAAAAAAAAACGTAATAGATATTTCTTGATTATTATAGGGCGATACGAAGTTCGCCAGGTCTTCTAGTCTTATATATAACTATAGACTATAGTATATATTTGACATTAATATAAAAAATAAATTTTGGGCCCCTACAGTAAGTAATAATCCTAAATTATCATGGATTTGTTAACTAATATTGTGTCGAATCATCTTCAATTATTCCCTCTGTACATATTTTTGTATAATTTAAAATTCAGTTTTCTTTAGGGCCAATATTTCATATAATAGTATTCCACTCGATAATTTTTATAAATTCACTGAAATGTATGGTCATTATGATTTAAACTATGTACTAACATGTGGGATCTCTTGTGCCCAGTAGTACATTTTTTACAAATGTAACAAGTAAATTCTCTACTAAAATGTATAATAGTAATAATAATTGTTAGTTTTGATTAAATGATAGTTGCCTAATATATATAGTGTATGTCTTTTTTTCAGGTCTGTAGCTTTAGCCCTACAAAGAGTGTTCTATGAATTGCAATTCTCCGATAAACCAGTTGGCACTAAGAAGCTCACTAAGAGTTTTGGTTGGGAAACTCTCGATTCATTCATGCAACATGATGTACAGGAGTTTTTGAGGGTAATCTTATAACCAGAAAAATTATAGATTATTTCAATATTTATATATTTGGAATTGTGTACAAAAAAGTCTAGAATGTATTTTTTAGATAAAAGTTATACTGCAGTCAAAAAACAGTTTAACTCGGCAGGAGACGCTACCGGGTAAAATTTACCACATAGTGCATACTTTCGAAAATATTTATTTTTGTAAGTAATTTTGTGCAGCGCCGTTTTAGATACCTTTCGACAGTTGTTCGACGGTTCCATTAATAAAGAAAATAGTGAGATTACTTGAAGGTGTTGGCTGTGTCTCTTGTATTGCCACAAATTAAGTGTAAATCTACCACCTTAAACCTGCCTACATACATTAATGAAAAGTAAAATAATACTTTTACTTGGTGTTAATGGCGAGCAAAATAATAATATTCCGAATAAACAACAGGAAGGAGCTCTCCAGCCACACTAGCAAATATTTCGTTTTGCGCACAAAATGGCTGAGCTTTTGGGCTATGTTTTAAAATGTCAAATATTACATATTATACCAAGCGTTATTAGTTTCCAACTGTCTCGTTTAATTGAAAATGTAACACAATATAATATAAAATTTGGTTATATTTAATTATCCATAAAATAACTCTAGTTCTTACATTAATATTATTGTGGTATTTTTTACCCAGTAGCGACAGTCAGTGTTGGTATATGGGGCGCGGCTCCCGCCGGGTTAATATCCTTATTCTAGAAAATTATCTTTCAAACTATATAATTATTTATATATATAAGAATTTGTATGTATGTATCTACATGAGTTAATAATATTCAGGTGCTGCTAGACAAATTGGAAAGCAAGATGAAAGGTACCTGTGTGGAGGGAACTGTACCTAGATTGTTTGAAGGGAAGATGACTTCATACATTAAGTGCAAGAACGTTAATGTTTCCAGTACAAGAGTCGAAACTTTCTATGATATACAGCTCAACATTAAAGGGAAAAAAAACAGTTAGTGTATTTATATATTTACTAGCTGCGCCCCGCGGTGTTACCCGCGGATTTTCGGGATTTCCGGGATGTAAAGTAGCCTATATGTCATTCCTGGACGTCAGCTTACTGTATACAAAATTTTATCAAAATCGCTTCAGCCGTCTGAGCGTGAAGAAGTAACAAACATATACACACACTCACAAACTTTCGCAATTATAATATTAGTAAGATTATGTCAGAGTAGTCTCAAAGATGTGGTTTTTAAAAGTATTGACGTCACCCTAACTGATGACGTCACTTATGCCTTTGTTCTTGAATGTCGTCATGATCTTAGATTCTTGAAAGTATTTTCGTAGGTAAGTTGACGAATCTCTTACTTCGAAGAGGTCCGATCTGTGTAAAGGCTCGAGCAAGACTATCTGTAATCTGTACTCTCGCCTCTATTTATACCAACACACAGTGATTGTTAATAACTACAGTTGCACTTGTTATGCGGATGACACTTGATAATTTATCTATCCTCAATTACAGTAGAAACTCGTTTATTCGTCCCTCAGTTATAAAGATTCGCGATTATTCGGACTACGGACAAGTCCGGACAAGAAAGAATGTCAAAGCGTAAGAGAGTGGTGTTGTTGAGAGTGGCGTACGTCAAATGACAATTACCATGTGTTCTGAACCAAATTATACTTATTATTATAATTCATGATTACCAATTTCAAATTACCAAAACATATTGTAATTTATTTTATTATGGACTACATATGTACAAGACTGGCTTTTCTTCAAACATTCGATTATCCGGATTTTCGATTATCCGAATACCTATCGACAACAATTAGTCCGGTTAATAGAGTTTCTACTGTATTGATTATTCAAATAATTGTATTTGCGCCTATTTATGTATCAACATAATAACTGACATTACTTTTTCAGTTGATGAGTCATTCAAAGATTACATAAGCACCGAGACTCTGGATGGTGAGAACAAGTATGATGCTGGTGAGCACGGGTTACAAGAGGCTGAGAAGGGCGTCATCTTCGCTGCGTTCCCGCCGGTTCTGCACCTGCACCTCATGAGGTTCCAATATGACCCCATCACGGATAGCTCGGTGAAGTTCAATGACAGGTGAGGCTTCGTTCACACTATAACTACCTGCAGGGAGCCTTAATATATATTATAATTGGAAACACTTTCAAACATGCCCGTGATTACTGTTTATTGTAAATAAAATAATAGAAACATGAAGTATATGATAAACTTAGTTTCATTTGAATGTGTGCCATGAAAATCTTAGATCTTATTATATGATTAGGTATGTTTGTGTGGATGTAACAACATATGTTTCTTTGTTTTTTTTTTTCAATTTAGATCCCTCATAACTTTGTACTTGTGTGGGGACACATAACAGTTGTATGTGACCTGTTGGTTACCATACATATTATAATACAGATTATTAAATTTCTTTTGGAATACACTGAAAACATGACGAAGTCTTTGACATAAGCTAGTAGCATAACCTAAGTGTATAATGTCAAAGTGACTATTACCACCAGATAGTACCAGTATAAACCACAATGTAATTTAATTATCGTTGTCTAAATAGCTCACTAGATGGAACTTACTGTCTATGTCTCGATCACTGACTCTCTGAAGTCAACTGTTTGCTACGTTACAGCTTAACTGTTAAACGCTTTATTATATTGTCTAGCTCCCTAGATGGAGCTACTATATATGCCTCGAGTTTGTGACTATTTGATGTGAACCATTTGTCCAGGTTCGAGTTCTACGAGCACATCAACCTGGACGCGTACCTGCAGGAGAAGCCGGAGACGCCCGCCGACTACACGCTGCACGCGGTGCTCGTGCACTCGGGCGACAACCACGGGGGGCACTACGTGGTGTTCATCAACCCCAGGGGGGACGGGAAGGTATTATATGTATATGTGTGTGTGTGTATTGTGATGTGGAGACTTTAAGAATTACTGCATATCATATGGTGGCGCTGGCAGGCGACAAAAAGAAAAATTGAATTGAAATAAATTCAAATAAAAACGATTTAAAAAGAATGACGTTGAGTTTGGAGTGAATAGGGCTTGCCATTGCATTACATAGTATGGATTTGATATAATATAAAAGAATGTTAATGATTTAAAATAGAAATAAAATAGTTAAGTGGAAAGGAATGCGAAGCTGTACTAATAATTGTGTTGGTGGAACATCTAGTTCAGAATCTCTACCGATATTGCATCCTTAAAATTACTAAAGTTTTAGATAACATTACAGTTTCAGACAAACAACAGATTTTTTTAAACTATTTAATAAGAACTATTTTTTATTAGGTAACAATAAAATAAAAGAAGCAAATGTACTGTGCAAAAAAACTAGACATATGTGTTCATGTAGTAGATTAATACTTAAAATATTCATGTTATTGGTCAATGATGTTAACTTTGTATGAGTTATGGTCTTTTTTCTAAAATGTTGGTACAAACCTCAAATTAGCCAATGCTTTCATAGTGGTGAAGTTCTATACAAACATCACGGCCAACTTTCTCAACTATATTTCCATAGTGGCTGTTTAATTATTACATATGTTTCCATAGTGGTGTAAGTTTGACGACGACGTGGTGTCACGCTGCACCAAGCAGGAGGCGATCGAGTACAACTACGGCGGCCAGGACGAGGACATGGCGCTCACGGTCAGGCACTGTACCAACGCTTATATGTTGGTCTATATTAGGTTGGTATTAGAATTCTTCTTCTATCTGGCAATTTCCCAGCTTTAGCCAGGGTCTGCATTACATGTTGTGAATAGGTTTGGCTAATTGTTTTTACAACCGGCCGCCTGCCTGACATCAACCCTCTTTGGGTATTACAATTATATAATATATATTATATAGTACTAGAAGACCCGGCGAACTTCGTATCGCCATATAATCAAGAAATATCTGTTACAGTTTTTTATTTATATTTTTGGAGTTTACCTTTTAAAGCCATAAATCTCCGTGTTTCTAAGTGCGACAGAATGATTGACATATTAGTTAGTTGTCAAATCTAATGTCAAATAAAAACGTTTCTATTAACAACTACTAATAAATTAAAAATTAATTAAAAAACATTGTCCAGCGGACAAAATTGTGAATCTAAACCTATTCCCAGATCCCCTTGAACACAAAAAAAATTTCATCAAAATCGGTCCAGTCGTTTGAGAGAAGTTCAGTGACATACACACTCACAGAAGAATTCTATATATAAAGAATATTTTCTTCTGCGATGTATGTTTGTAGTTTTAAAATTTAAATAATTATTTTGTTATCTGTGAATGAATTGTTTCGCGATTAGTATCGACAAAACAAATATTTTGGTATTGTTTTCATATTTATTTATTACACATATGAATTAAATATATTTTCAGGGATTCTCAATTAAAGACTGTGTTACAAGAGGTCACTCAAGCAGACATACCGACGGAACTCAGCGAACGATTGGCGGACGAGAAGAGAATAGAAACTGTGAGTTTACAGATATAATCATAATCAAAAATATACAGGGTGTTGCTAGTCACCTATTATATGGTCTGTATATATCGTTATAACAAGATATATATGATCTAATTATGCTGTATATGTCAAGATCCGCCGCAAGGAGCGCAACGAGGCGCATCTATACATGAACGTGAACGTGGTACTCGAAGAAGCGTTCGACGGACATCAAGGGAATGATCTGTACGAACCGGAGAGGGCTCACTGCCGCGTGCTGAGGGTCCGGAAGCAGGCGACGCTGGCAGAGCTGCTGGCGGCGCTGTCGGACCACTTCCGGTATCCGCGGGCTCACCTACGGCTGTGGCCGTTTAGCGCTCGCTCCAACCAGGTATGAGAGGGAGTTGAACCACTATACTGCTTTAATTTATTCATAGTAAATGTTCCATGATAGTATGACTACTGTTAAATATGAATGGTGCAGCATTGGAAACATCTGTATAAACATGTGAATTTTTTAGTTATATTGGTTATATATAATCATGATCATGCCTTGGTTTTATAATTATCTTACAAAGTTAATAACTCATACTGCTAGTGATTAATTTCGTGTCATACATGCCAGTGCCATATTTGTTTGTTATTGCATATGTTAATGTCATGAATTCCCTTCCAGACGTGCCGCCCAACCTGTCTAGATATAGCCAACGACCAAAACAAAACTATAGTAGACATATCAGAGAATATGAACCCGTGGAGTGTGTTCCTAGAGATGTTACCGCCGGACTCGGGACTGAACGCACTGCCGCCCTTCGACAAGGAGAACGATGTAGTGCTGTTCTTTAAGTTCTATGATCCCAAACAGAAGAGGATCCACTACTGCGGACATCACTACTTACCGATAGCAAGCAAACCCGCTGACTTGATACCCATACTTAATAAGAGGGCTGGTGAGTTGAGAATCATATTAAATGTATGAATGTAGGCTTTTTTTAGCTGTGCTCGCGATTTTTTCTATATTTGATTATATTATTTACACTATAGAAATGTTTATATTTTATAATATACAGAGAGAAATTGATATCAATATTTGAGCATATTTCTTATAAAACTTATTTTTAATATTACAAAAAGATATGTGCTTTGATTTTATTTATTATTATACATGATTAATCTGAATAACGCTCAATATGTCATGGTACATTATACCATTAACCTCATATTATCTTCTTTTCCAGGCTTCCCCCCGGACACTCCTTTGAACTTATATGAAGAGATCAAACCAGATTTTGTGGAGAAAATCAACAATTATAATGATCCCCTCGAAAAGGTATTATTTATCAGTTTTACCCTGACAGACCTTTATTATATATAAGTTACATACATCTCATATACAAGAAATATACTATCAATTAATTTACATAGAATATACATATACTGTTGATGAATTAGTATTTTGTCTTAATGTTGTTAGAACATTGTTCAATCTGTTGTTGTTGATGTGATTTGTATCATTATACATTTAATAGTACACATTTATCATTCATATTATTTCTTATCGATAAAAATAATGCCAGTTTAATTTGAACGTTGTTTGGTTGTTGAACGACGTTTGATTATATCATGGCTACATTATTAACGATTGTTAGATTTGGTGATATTTCTAGCGTGCATATGACGTCCAAGGTACGGTGGTCACTTAGTATATGTAAAGTATTACTTATTATGTTGTGTATACTGTATGTTGTGTGTGTGTGGGGCGGTGCTTGTCGGGGCCCCGCCCCCGGTGGGCGTGTCGACCCCCCCGCCGCCCCCCGGGTTGAGTGTGTGCACTTGGCCAGGTATTGGACGAGCTGATGGACGGGGACATCATCGTGTTCGAGCGGGCCGAGCGACACGACGACCTCGAGCTGCCGACCTGCCAGGACTACTTCAAGTACATCTTCTACAAGGTGGAGGTGCAGTTTGTTGACAAGACCGTGCCCAACGACCCCGGGTGAGATACACACACACACATATACACACACACATACACACACACACACACACACACACACACACACACACACACAAAACAATGCTACGAAATAAACTGTTCATACACACACGCACACAAACACATAGCAAGCGCGACAAACGGTATATAAAACACACACAATGACGTTATGTTCCCATTTAATAGTGTTGATGAATTTGGTTACACAACTTCACTTTCTGATTGCTGTGTGATGGGACCTCTGTTAGCGTTATTTGTAATGTTATATGTGGCCTTTAATAAACAAAGATAATTAGGTACTTCGAATTTTTCGATAGTCCCATTCCTACTATCTATACTAATATTATAAAGCTGAAGAGTTTATTTATTTGTTTGTTTGTTTTGTTTGAAAGCGCTAATCTCCGAAACTACTGGTTCGAATTGAATAATTCTTTTTGTGTTGGATAGTCCAGTTATCGATTAAGGTTGTGGGCTATATAACATTACGCTACGACCAATAGGAGCAAAGATATAGTGGTAAATGTATAAAAAACGGGAGAAATTATTTCATCTTTGAAACCTTCCGTTGCGTGCGCCGTGAAAACGGTTCAAGATACACAAAAAATATGTATTAAAGAATAATAGCTCTTTTAATGATCTAAAAGCCAGTCCGCGACAGTATATGTCTATCTTTTAAGATTAACTCACAGAAACCGTTTTTATGGTACCTAATTTGGTCGAAATAATTTGTTTAAGTTGTATCAACATAATAATATTAATCTTTATTCAAATAAACAAATAAATATGTTGTTAGTTAAGAGTACTTCATTGTGAATTAAAAAAACGGTTTTATCCTGAAAATTCTACGGGAACTCGACCATTCCGAAAACCCCCCAAGAACGAGAACTATGTGGGAAGAACCAAAAATTTGCCGGAAGTCACTATTCCACGCGCACGAAGTCGCGGCAAAAGCTAGTTATATACTATTTATTAACGTGAGATCCCTGTTTAAGTGCGTTTTGTGTAATATTTTATATTATCCTAAAACTATAAACATGTGCCACTAAGGTTTGACGTACAAGAGTCGACACTGAGGAAGTTTCTGTCAGAAAATGTTTAGTTAAAGTGCTTTTTGCCATCATAGTAATTGATTTAAAATATTTTGAGTTGTTACCATATCCTGCTTTGTTAACTTCACACACAAAATACGTTAATCCCTTTATGTGAATCGCTAATCTTTTTTTAATTTTAATTTAATATTATTTCAAGATTCACAATGGAGCTTTCGATGCAGATGCGTTACGATCAGATGGCGCGTGCTGTCGGCCAGCGGCTGAACGTGGACCCCTTCCTCATACAGTTCTTCAAGTGTCAGAAGTATGTCCACACTACGAGGCGCATATCTAGTTATATTGGCTGTGTCGACAACATACTTATATATACATACAGCTAAATAATACTGTATCACTGTATAGTGTTTTGTTTCTTACTAATTGTGAAAAAAATACCTTTAAAGTCGTTAATTTAGAAAACATTTCAGCTTAAACTTTCGTCCAATAATCTGCTTTCAATGCAGATACTCAGAATTATCCAATGCTAGTAACGCGGATTTGCACTATCCCTGATGATATTTTTTTCAAATATCACTTTAAATATTATAGACTAGACCTAATTTTGCCTAGTATGGTGTCGACACAGCCTTACAATAGGGCACAAGCCCAACGCATCCCAACGACATGTACCGTGCTATTTCTATCTAATTAAATATAAGTTGTGCGAACTGTTCCAGTTACAAGGACACGCCGGGGATGCCGCTCCGGTACTCGTACGACGGCATCCTCAAGGAGCTGCTGGTGTACTGCAAGCCCAAGTGCCCCAAGAAACTGTTCTACCAGATACTGTCCATCAAGGTCAACGAACTCGACAACAAGAAGCAGTTCAAGTGTCTATGGGTGAGTACATCTATATATATAAAAGAGATTTCCACCTATATATTGACTCATCACGATATCTCTGGAACCATATAGCGACTTGAAATTTGGTAGGATTATTCCTAGGAGTAGAGGTCAGCTAAGAACAGATTTTACGAAATTCCACCCACAAGGGCGGTTGCGGGGCGTTAACAATGCAAAATACGCTTTCACGCCTAAAACACTGAACTGATTTTAATGAAACTTGGTACAGACATAGAGTTGACCTTGAAAAAAAACAGGATAGTTTTTATCCCAGACTTTTGAAAGGTTCTCTTGGAAACGCGATATAACCGATCGAAGCTGCGGGCGGAAAGCTAGTTTATTATATAACACAATTACTGAGCTGATTTTCATGAAACTTCTGTTATATAGCTTTGATGTCAGGGATATATGATAAAACTATGAATGAGTATTAACAATTTTTTGCTTATACAAGGATTTGACTTCATTTATTGGTCTTTGACAATTGCTTGTATTTCAGGTCGGTCCGAATTATAAAGAAGACAAGGAGTTAATTTTATATCCAAATAAAGGTGGTAAAGTGTCGGATATTTTAGAAGAGGCGGCCAAAGTAGTGGAAATGTCTCCCGAGGGATCTGGAAGGTATGCTCACACATATATAGATTCTGGCATTATATACATGTATTATGTATGTTGTATATATGAACAAACACTGAAATTTTTTTTTGTTATGTATTTTATTAGAGAAAAAAACAGAGCACAGGAATGTAATAAAAATATAAACAATAACACAGTAAATTAAAGACAAATAATATCTAAAAATAGACAAATAATATTAGTTATACTTGCTTGATAGTGTTAAAATAATTATATGATGTCAAGTGTAATGTAGGTAGATTGCTTTATTATATTAGATGCTGTCATTCAGTTTGCTACTTACAATACATGACGAATTTAATAGTTTTATTGTATACTAGTTTTTGCCCGCGACTTCGTCCGCGTTAATTTCGTCATTAGTAATATATGTATAGCTGATCGAGCAAACTCTATTCCGTCTTCAATTACCTTCTTTAATTAGTATTTATTAAATTTCTACTGTTTCAATCGAACAGAATGATTGACATATTAGTTAGTTGTCAAGTCTAAATATGTGAATTAAAATTTAATAAAGTGGAAGTCTGCAAGGTATTGCGGGACATAGACAGTAAAAAAGGACCTGGCCCTGATAATATTTCTCCTTATATCATTAAAAAATATGCAACACAATTATCATTGCCCCTTACTAAAATTATTAATAGATCTTTGGCAGACGGCATATTTCCTGAATTGTGGAAAAAAGCTAGAATCATACCTATTTTTAAAAAGGGTGCACCCGATAACATCATAAACTACAGACCAATTTCCATATTATCCAGCTTCTCTAAAATTTTTGAAAAGCTTATATATTCCAGATTATCCTGTTTTGTTTACAAATTTTTAACACCTTTTCAGCACGGTTTTAGAAAAGGATATTCTGTTCAAACAAATCTCTTATGTTTTGTCAGTGATATAGCACAAGAAGTGGATGGTGGGCATCAGGTGGATGCCATATACACCGATTTTTTGTCACGCTTTTGATAAAGTACATCATCCTACATTGCTGAAAAAGTTAGAATCTATTGGCTTTGGCACTTTACTCTTGGAATGGTTCCGATCATATCTTTTAAATCGCCCGCAAGTGGTTGCTGCACAGGGTTATGAATCTATTACATACTATGCAAAAACTGGGGTCCCCCAAGGATCACACCTAGGCCCATTGCTGTTTCTAATTTACATAGATGATATAAAATATTTCATACATAATTGCCGTTTTGCTCTATTTGCTGATGACCTTAAAGTATATAAAACTATAAAATCATCTGTTGACAGCACACAACTTCAAAGTGATCTACTTGGAATTCAGCAATGGTGTGATAGTAACAATATGCTACTCAATCCAACAAAATGTTTTCATATAAAATTCTCAAAACAAAAACTCCCTACTACTTCTTCATACACAATTTGTGGGCAATCAATTAAACAAGTAGCCGAGGTTAAAGATTTAGGTGTTATCATTGATAAAAAATTAACTTTTGTGCCCCACATTAACATGATAAATGCCAAGGGAGCTCAAATGATTGGATTCATTAAGAGAAATACAAAGGGATTTACGATTGAAACAAAGCTATACTTGTACAATGCTCTTGTTAGGACAATTTTAGAGTTCGCGTCTCAGATCTGGAATCCTATATACGCTGTTAATTCTCAAAGAGTTGAATCGATTCAACGTGCTTTCACTAGACATCTAGCTTTTGAATGCAGCGGAATATCCCATAGAGCGCCATACGACAGTCGCCTAAATTTTTTTAAAATGGAAACTTTGCGAAATCGTAGAAAACTTCTCGATTTAGTTTTATTATTTAAAATTATGAATGGCACTGTCCAATGTGAACAGGCTCTCCAGAAAATTAAGATCTCAGTCCCATGTCGCCCTCCTAGAAAACCTATCAATAAATTGTTCTACATAGCGAAGTCACGCACAAATGTAGCTAAATTTTCCCCTATAAACAGAATATGTGGCCAGTATAACGATCTGTGTTCAATAACCCAAAATATTGATGTTTTTTCTGACTCCTTGCCGATGTTCAAGCGGAAAATCTGTGATGTTTTGTCATGTCCTGTTAGTATAAGTAGTAGTAGTGGTGGTGGTTAGCTGTAGTGGTTTATTTTGATTGTTATTTTGATTTTTGTTTGATATTCTTTCTTATTCATTTGTATTTTTTAAGTAATAGTTTTGTTATTTAGTTTATAAAGTTTTGTTATTTCTTTTGTTAACTTGTTTTTTTTATATTTTTTTGTAAGCTAGACAGTAATTTTTAGCAGTGATGTGTACATCCATAATTGGTACATACATCAGTTAGTGTTTAGTTTTAAATGTTTAGTTCTAAGTGCTTAATGTATGTACTGTCGATGTGCCGTTCAAATAAAAAAAAAAAAAAAAAAGTCTAATGTCAAAAAATCGTTTGTAGGGGAAATAGAAATGGGCTGTTTTTAGGGTTTTTCCGGCAATTATTCTAATTTTTCTCACCTTTTAAACCTTCCCTGGACTTTCAGGAGTATTTCAAGACTAAAATTAGCCAAATCGGTTAAGCCGTTTTCGAGTTTTAGCGAGACTAAGGAACAGCAATCCATTTTTATATATATAGAAGATTACAGTTTTTTATATTATCTATTGATATAGTTATTGTGATGGTGTGTAAATATATTAGATGCTGTCATTCAGTTTGCTACTTACAATACATACATGACAAATTGAATATAGTTTTATTGTATACTACAGTTCTTTATATTATTTATTTATTTATATATTTATTGTGTTGGTGTGTATGTCAGGTTAAGGATCGTGGAGGTGTCGTGTCACAAGGTGTTGCCGGGGCCGGACCCCGAGCTGACGCTGGACCAGGTGACCATCTCCCCGCCGCGCCTCTATAGGATAGAGGAGATACCGCGCGACGAGATCGACCTACAGGTACAGACAGACACACAGACACACACGGACACTCACACACAGACACAAAACTATGCTACGAAAAAATGGACATAAAGGCACATACGCACACACACGGAGAGACACAAACGATTCAAAAATTAACACACACACAGAAAGACACAAACGACACACATACACAAAACAACGCTATTATGACACAAACGGTACATAAACACACACAAACTCAGACACAAACGACATAAACATGCTACGGCCACACTAAGGGGAAATGCCACACACACACATACGTTTGCTCTTACAAATGTTGACATAGTCTTTATATAAAATTAATGTTTTCGTTCATACTACGAGTTTTTAATTAATTGAAAATGACACTCATCCAGTCTCCTCGTGAAAATGGTTGCTACAAAGTAAAGGTAACATCTCATGTACATACTTTAAATATTTAAAAAGGCGTATGTAGTGTATCCGAAAATATTAATTTAATTTAAATGAATACTTGCGAAAAATCTTTATATAATTATATATTTTAGATTCTCCCTCCTCTTTTCTGTTTTTGATCGGAATATAATACAAATATTAACAGTACTTGCCGTATACATATATGTATATTAATGAGTTGTTTCATCACTTCAGGAGGACGAGATCCTGGTGCCGTGCGCTCACTTCCAGAAGCAGGTGTACTCAACATTCGGCATACCGTTCTACGCGAGACTCAAACACCACGAGCCCTTCGCCGCGCTCAAGGATCGGCTGCAGAGGAAGTTAGATGTGCCTGACAAGGAGTGGGAGAAGGTTCATATACTATATAAAAACATATATACACAAACAGATATATTCTTTCTTACACTCTTAAAACCGTTGGATGTATCAAAAATGACATATTGGCCTTATAGGTGACACTGTCAAAAGCTATAGGTCTAAAGCATGGTAAGAATCGATGAAAAGTATCTTAAAAGTCGTCGAAATCACCTCTTAGAGCCATAGCACACGGCGTATTTTAAACTCGCCGACGACGCTGATATTTACGTTTACATAGATGAAATAAAAGCGCGCGTCTGACGCGCGTTTTAAGCTATACAAACGCGCGTGCAAAGGAGCGCGGTAAGAGCAGAGCAAAAATAAAAACAAAACCAAAGCGCATCTGCTCGCTGTATCTGCGCGTATACGCGCAGTAGACGCGCGTTTCACGATTTCCTCTTGTGCTTAGGTTACTGCGTTGCGTTCGAATGGCGCTTGGCCTTAATGTTAATACATGTGTGCAGTGTGGTGTGAAATGTTTTGTACCATTTACTATATATTAATTGACAATGTATTAGTAATTTAAATATGCCTGGATGTTACTGAAATCTTTTTGTATAGATCATTGACTATTTAATAGATCACATTTTTCAATTGCTTGAGATAAAGTATTCGTATTTAAAACATTATATGAGAACCTTTTTTCCCATTTTGTATTCCTAATTGATGAAATTTCTCTTTTTCAGTACAATTTTGCAATAGTGACGAATGGCCGACCTAATTATATAAGTGAAGGAGCAACTATTAACATATACGACTTCAGAACTACTAGTAATGCGAGTGAGTTTGATTGTTTATCAGATATAGAAGAAAAATAAATTAATTAATATGAACATGTATGTATATAAATTAATGATTGTATTCGCAGATGCGACGGGTCGGCCGTGGTTGGGTCTTGAACACATCAACAAAACGCCAAAACGTTCGCGTGTCAACTACCTCGAGAAACCCATCAAGATATATAACTGAACACACTCACACACACACAGACAGACAGACACTCACACACACACGGCGCGGAGGAACAGATCGATAGAAGGATTGGGTTTGCGTCTCAGCTGAGTTCACTAATATAAGAATAAACGATGTAACAGCTTGAAGCATAGACATAGAAAACACCGGGGGATGTTACTAGTATGTGGCGGTGAATGACCTCCCCCGTAGAATATATTTTGTTTATTATTAACTTTGCTATTATTTTAAACCTTATCTGCGCTGTGAGGTGTACACTGATGTCGTTGAGGTGTGTCACTAACTAATATAGAACTGTTTATATAACTGTCTGGCCTTACTGTAACGAACATCCGTATAGATATACATATAAATGTAACATACATGTGTAATTTATCTGAAATAGCCTTAACACGCCTTTATATTAGATACTATGCTGCCGACGTCACTCGGTACTTAAGTGAGAATTATTGTACGATATGTATCACGTGACTCGGCAGTGAATTAGTTGGACGAATATCAAGAGATTATACACTATACAGTATGTGGCGAATAGAAAACGCATTGATAGATGAACCTCACACATATAAATATATAAAATGAGATCGATTGGTCGCATATGTAACGGTGACTCGACCGAACAGTCTTTATAAAACTCGGTTATGTTTATGTACATTTTATAAATAAATGGTGGAATGGATTTTAATTTTCATAATGTTTGATTTTTATGAAATTTTTGTTGCAATATATTAAGACAAAATTTTGTTTCCTTCAGTTGAAAATTTAGAAATATTTTGAATTTATATTTAATTACGTTCTTATAGAAGCATCATGTCAATTAGTACATGTTAACTATGAATGAATGTGATTTGTTTTTAATGTGTATGTTATAATAAAACGTTTTAAGTCACTTTTAAAGTTAATTGTTTTATAATTTGAATTCTTTGTGCATTTCATGAGTGTTTTAATAGTAATTTTAACCACGGGTGCTTGTTAATGACACTCATAATTTAGTATTTGGGACATTTTTTTTATTAGTAATTTTTGATTTTAAGGCATTTACAGTCTGTTCCGTCGAGTCACCGAGTGTACACCCGCGGAGGCGTGTGACGTCACTCGTGCACGTCACTGCGTGGTCGGGTGTACACTATATATAAACATGTTGTTATCACCGGCTGAGAGCCCGTCACTGAATATGTGCTATTTAATTTTCTTTTGTACTTGACCTGCCACAAAAAAATGTTACTCTATTAATAAATGATTATGTCGAAATTATGTATATATATGATGTAATAAATTAAGAAATAAAAAAAAACATACAGTAAGTTTTCGTAACGATGCCTTAGACGTCTTAAGACATTTTTTTTAGTGGTTTGCGATGATACTGAATAATTTATATAATTTAATTCTCCTGAACACGACTCTTTCCCGCCGAACACCGCGAGGGCGTCCGTGCGGGATGGGTTTTGTTTCTTTTATTTTCGTTTAATTTAACAATGTGTGTCGGTTGCACTATTTTCTTTAACAATATTTGTGGATGCAGACCGGCTCGGTACGTCGGCCGCGTCTAATATATCGGGCAAATGGGATTATAGTCTTAGCTAATTTTTAACTATAATCGGCGAGATGCGTTGATACGACTGTACACAGCTTGTACGCAAACTATTGGAGACTGTACCAATGTTTGTTGTTGGATTTTGAATGTTTCTCTGAATATAATCCTATATTTGTTTAATCTTTTGTTTTCAAACTTCACCCTCTACGACGATTTTATTATTTAAACGACATTACTAGTGCTGAAACATCAAATGACGTCAATATAATGAAGTCCTTGAGATTTTACAGATTTTAATTTTTCCATTTACTTTTTTTATATTTAATTGTTCGTCTGATACAAAATATTTACAGTTTTAAAAGCTATATTTAAATTGTTTAATGTTTTGTTCAACGACGTGTTCAGTCAACGATTAAAGAACAATTTCATATTAATTACAAATAAAAACAAAAATTATCGCCGAGAATAAACCAAAGAAAACAAAGTTATTAAAATTTGACAAAATCAGAAAAACATGAAGTTTAGAAAGCGCTGGGACGTTATTGGAATTGCAGCTAAATATGTATTATATTTTGGTTTCTAATAAAAGTTAGTAATTATTATTGAACATTTGACTTCACAAATATAAAAAAATGTCTCTGAATCATACTTACTTAGCAGAAAATCATTGTTAATTTAAAGTAAAGCAACTGGATATAATTATTTATTATCAATACTGTCTAGTGAAAGAAAAATCATAAAAAGTTGCAATTTTAATTGTATGCTTACACCAGTCGTCAAACAGATTGTGTTCAGTGAAAACTTAGACTAGAAGAAATAAGCCTATAACAATAAAACTTACTAAAATTATAGGTTTTATTTAATGAATAGTTTATTATAACTAAAATAATATGTCGATTTGATCAAAAACAAAGATGAAAATGTTGTGTCTAAAAGAGTTAAAATAAAGTGTCGTTAATACGAGTTCCCCATCCTCGAAGAAAATTCAGTTTCTATGAATGACTCTTGTATGTAGTTAGTTGTAAGGATCGATTCGACGACAGTTTACAGTTATTTGCTCAGAACCTACATGTGTCAATAAAATTAAAAAAAAATGTGCAAATAACAAACATATATAAGCTTGACTTCACGATTAGTCTTCTAGAAATGTATGGTCCATTGATAATAATTGATTTGCGTTGTTCATCTCGCAAACTTATCCACTATGTACATTAACTAATGCTACGGCCACACCAAGGTTTAACGTTAATGCCAATTATCACTATAATTAAAAGGAAAATTTTTAGCGCAATCTATTACAGTCGATTATTGATATTATTAGCGGCATTTCCCCTTAGTGTGGCCGCAGTATAAAGTAACATGTGTATCGTTTCCTGAACAGAGGAGATAAATAAAAGTGCAACATTATAAAATTAATATCTTATATTTTGTTCAATAAAAACTACATTGTGGGCCCTGGCCGGCGGCCCGGTAACACGACCTTTGTATTATATAGTTCATAAACTCTGAGGGCAGACTGTCTTAAGGCAATGGAGTGAGTCGCATCACGCATACAACTATTGGAATGTCACGCGATCTCGGGGGACGAGGAGGTCATCCGTATACCCTATAAAACTTACAAAACCGGTAAAACTTAGCGCTAAGGTTTCATTAAAATTAATCGGAATCGGAAATAAATTATCTATTTAGTGTGTGTGGGGGTCAGTGCGAGGCCTCGCGGGCCCGCTTGAGGGGTCGAGGGTCCCCCGCCTCGGACGACTCGCCGAGCGAACTGTCCTCCGCCGAGCTCGCCTCCTCCAGCGGCCTGCAACGAGAGGGACATTAATAGATACACGACATTAATATTAACTTGGGTTATATCTATGTATGTAAGGGAATCTTTGAGCTTAATGTTCTACAAGTCTTAATAATATGAAACTTTGAATATCTATCAAACAAGGACATTAATATTAGCTTGGGTTATATGTATGTAAGGGAATCTTTGAGCTTAGTTTTTTAGAAGTTTTAGTGTAAACTATGGAAGTGTAAACTACGGATGAATGAAAAGATATGAATTGTAGTTAAATGCACCTCACGCTTTATACTATGAATTAAATTATTCTGTTGATAACTTTCATTTTATTTTGAGGTGATTAACTTGTTATTATGAATGATTGTTTGACCTACTACTGTAACATAATTTCTTTATAATTGAAAATTATCTTCTACTTTTCTTTCTATTATTTTTTTCATAAAAGCCTAACTAATTAAAGGTCCTAATCTTTATCAGTATGTATGATGTCAATAACAATGTTCCTCTAATATTAACGCCAGGTGTTTCATATAAATCCAAAGTGTCATATATAACTGTAACCTACATGAGTTTCGTCTGACCCACTGACCAGTTGTGTATGTTTATATATAACAGGTCACGTTATCTACTGAACTAGTTAAAATTTAACTTTGTTGTCGTCTAGTTCATCGTCTGGGAGTATAAAAGGTGATGACTATACATTTAATATCAATCCCTACTAATATTATAAATGCGAAAGTAACTCTGTCTGTTACGCTTTCATGCCTGAACGACTGAACTTTTAATGAAATTTGGTACAGACATAGAGTTGACCTCGAGAAAGAACATAGGATAGTTTTTATCCCAGACTTTTGAAAGGTTCTCTTGGAAACGCGATATAACCGAAGTCCACGCGGGCGAAGCTGTGGGCGGAAAGCTAGTTTCTCAATAAAATAGGTATTCTAGGTTGTGTTGAGAATGTTTAGTTATCATAGGATAAGATGAAGCTTATAGATGTAAAAATTATTATTGTTTATTGTGTGTTTTCTTTGTATGTATGTGAGCGGGTGTATAAAACTATGCATATGTATAATGTAAGAGTATAAGTCTGTGTGTGCACGTGGGCGGATGTGTGTATGTGCTTGTATAATTTTTGTGTGTGTGTTTGTGTATCTGTTTACCACCGTTCCGGTTTTCAATACAAAACTTTAGTTAGTGTTATTCTCTTTTTAAATAAGAAAATTTTATTAGGTAGTGAGCGTGTAATTTAAATATATATACTATGAAACCTCTTCTCTATACATACGTCTTGTTACCATATCTCTCCTCTGACAAATCTAGATCATTTCATTGATAAATTACTGAACCGAGTCACAACAAACCCGGTAAGGGTAATGTTTGTACCGTTTTAGTTCAGTTGTGTTTGTCGTCGCATGATTTTATGTCGTTTGTGTCTCTTCGTGTGTGCGTATGTGCCTTTATGTACAGTTTTTTCGTAGCATTGTTTTGTGTACGTGTGTATACATACATGTCGCTCCGCGCGCGTGTGTGTGTGTGTGCGTGTGTGTGTGTGTGTGCGTACCGTTTGTGTCGCGGCGTGCTGCGCGCTGAGTCACAGTCGGAGGCGGAGGCGGGGGAGGGCTTGTCGAGGGAGTCCTCGGTACATGAAGCGACGTCGCCGTCCTCAGTCACTGATACCAGTTTCCCTGCAAAATAAACATATTATTAATGAATAAGAACATTATTACAATCCGTGAACACTACCTTATCCTACTTATATCATAATTGTGAAAGTTTGTGAGTGTGTGTGTATGTTTGTTACTTCTTCACGCTCAAACGGCTGAACCGAATTTGATAAAATTTTGTTTACAGGAAGCTGACGTCCACGAATAACACATAGGCTACTTTACATTCCGTAAATCCGCGGGTAACACCGGGGGGCGCAGCTAGTAATATATATCCAAGTGATTCCATCAGTTCGTGATTCTATCACAATACTAATATTATTCATAATACAATATACATATCGCGTTATACATCACAGAAGCAGGATGTTTACAGTGTGAGGACATGTGACTAGTACTTTAATATTATTAATATATATGTAAAAATATATTTCATTTTTATGCAATATAAAAAACATTTATAAAAACAAATATAGTGTTCATGTTAATAGTTTCAAGATATTAAACCTACATCTCAATGTTATTCACACCTTTGACTATGTAGTATAACTAAAAGTACTCAATAACTTCTTTTTATCTATAGATACTCTGTAGTCTTTAGTTAATAGTTTTTCATCCATACATCTACATTACTACATAAATAACTTTGTATGGATATTAATGAACCTCACCAAAACTATCTGTGCTGAATTTAACTATGCAAAATTTATAAGTTACAGCTAATAAAAAATATTATGTATTTAAATATATTCCTAAAATATGTGTAATGTTATGTATGTCACTCAACATAACATTCTGATAGTAAATCAATATTTTCTTAGTCATTATCCATCTTTGTCCTGTTTCCTTAATAACTGAACTACTGAACTGATTCAACTTATAACAACTGTATAAAACAGTGTTTTGTGTGTTGAAAAATTTTGGCGACCCTCTTGTTTCTTAGAGAGGCAAGGTAATTCTTAAATTATGTCTAAAAACATATTAAAGTTAAAGACATTCTCTTCAATAGTGGACATCAAAACAAAAAATACAAATAAACTTCAATTACAGGTTGATTTGATTAGTCATGTTTCAAAAATAGTACCATTACTTGACATGCTTTTGAAAAATAAATAAACCCACACTTATCATTAAAACCTGATTTTTATTGTGATGTAGAACTGTACCTTTAGCCCCTAGGGATGTAAAGGTAAAGTTGTACACACACAAAGGTAAAATTGTACACACACAAAGGTAAAGTTGTACACAATTTGAAAAAGACTGGTATAAAGATGGTATCTGTGTATGTGTGTATGTGTGTCTTATGTGTGTGTGTGTGTGTGGTGTTACCATTTCCGTTAGTAGGTGGCTCTAGGTTGCTCTCATCACTAGGTAGCGGTGACTCGTGTCTCGGCGGCTTGCCCAGTAGTTCTGGCTGTAGTTCAGACAGTACGTGGTGCGTCCATAGAGCCAGCTCCACACTGTGAGGAGACCACTTCTTGCCGCAGCCGTTTTGTTCCTGAATCACATACATATAATATATAGATAGATAGAAGTATACAGTATATAGATAGATAATATATACATACATTGTATATGTAATTTGTAAAATGTTTCAATTACTTCTTTGTATGAATTTTTGACTTTTTTGTATTGTAATAAGTATGATAAAATTTAAAACACATGTACTAAATGTCCTGATTGATATATGTTATTTAAATGGATGCAAATGTTATTATATAAAATAACATGTATAAACTAAGTGTCAATATTGTAATTCTTACACTCAAAAGTTCTTTATAAAACAATCAATATTCCTGTTTTTTGATTCATCAAAACTATTCAACAACTTTTGTTTTTTTTTAACTAATATACCTTTTTACTTATCAAATTGATTAAAATTGAAAAGATTGCTCAAAAATTATTTTATTTAATATGAAAGATTGTTATAAAATAACACACAATTGTATGAACTCTTTTATGAAGAAATATTTTTAATAGATTTCCGAATTATTATTAATTAAATTATAAATGTACTCAGCACTGAAATTGATCTTTATATATAGAGATACAATCTTGATACAATTACCTGATCAATATTATGAATGAAATATTTGTTTTATTTCAAATATATAGAATTTGATAGATACATAAATATTATATATATATATATATATGTCAACATCTTTATGTTATGTATACGAACCTTATTTAATCTATCACAGACGTTCAGTATATGTTGTACAAAATTGAGGTATTCCTTGGCAGTGTAGTCGCTCCCTTCCATCTCTGGTATAGCTTGAACACATTCATCGGCCATGAAGGGTGCTATCTCTGGCCGAGCGGCTGTTAGCAGGGCCGAGGCTGTGGCTATACCGACTCCTTTGAGATTATTGAGAGCAGTCATCGCTGATTCTATGTTGGGCAGCTTCTTGAATGCTTTCTTTGTTTCCTGCACCACGGCTCTCGGTGTGTTAACTTTTATGAGATATGATAATTGTGGATAGAATTTCCCTCTCTGTAACAGAAAGAAGCTTTTTTAAGACAATATATATTTGATTAATGTATGAATCTAGGTACATTTGTCAATATAAATGGGTTTTATATATAATAATAATAAATTATGTATAGCATACGGCCTGTTTCCATTTCATGAGCTTGACGAGTTCTTCGTGAACCATATGAGCATCTTTACCCCTTGATTTGATTTTCTTTGGCAATTCATTCTGGTACCTGTAACATAATATACATATATATTAATATTCAAATATAACATTTAATTACATTCTCTGTTTCCTATAGTACTGGCTGTTTTAAGTAGACATTTACATTAACTTAAAATCTTTTGTATTTATACATTTGTTGTATAAAGTTATATAATTGATGTAATTATTATTAATCACTAATAAATATTAATAAATTAAACTTGTTTTGAAGTAATTCGTTATTAACTTTATTTTGTTGTTGAATAAAATATTAAGGTTATGTACGTATTGTATTAAACGCGGACACGTTAAATAAAAGCCCGCGAAAAAACATCGTAAAATATGAAGCTAAGTTCACATAGCTGTCCTGAATTGTATTTGTACATGATTATAATTGAAAAAAAAATATTTCTTAATAATATGTACTTTTTTATGTACAATAGAATGAATTTAAAATTGTTACGTATTTGTAATATTTTAGACTAAATAAAAAAAACTTTGGAATATGTACTTAGATTTTCAATAATAATTTCTATTTTTAAAACTAAAATTAAACAAAATTATGGTTTTAAAAATCTCAAAGGTACATATGTCAAGTAAGATACAGTTAGTCGTGTTCTATGTAGTAAGTTGATGACTCACGCTTTTTAAATGAATTTCAAGAAATAAAAAAATATAATTTATATACAATATGAATTTCCTACAATTCTATACAACAGCTTCATAATTTGTAAGAATAAAAACGAATAACTTTATAACAAAATATTATTACGAAGCTAAATGGCAAGTCACCATTTTGAACGGATGTGAGTTGTATTCAACAAAGCATTGTATTATCTCGCTACATGTATTTAAAAATACAAAAATATTTAATACACGTTATCAGGCTTGTTATTTAATAGACGTTTTCAAACTACTGGCGGGCAAACGAGTCTATAATAAATGCATTTTTACGAGCAACGAAACGTAAAGGATCGCCACCATTTTATAACGCCTAAGCGCGGCGATATTTTCCCCCACACTGGCTTTAGGAAAAACGATAGTGTCAATTTGACATCGATCCCACGTGACGCAGTGATTTTAATGAGCCGTCCGCGGACTAGAGATGCAGTCCGCGAGGGAGGTAGCTATCAAATCAGTTTGCACGGATACACACACAATACAAGTTCATTGACACGCCACGGCCGCATTTTCTCCTCTGAAAGACGTTCGCACTTACCAATTGTCCAGTTTTAAGAGCTCCTCTGGTTTCTTTGTTTTCTGTTTCGCTTTCAATTTGATAGCTTGTGGGTATAACTTTAAAACACTGTCAAATTGTTTTGCATCTGCCTCCAGAAAGAAAGTAGACGTGTCTTTCGCGGTAGCCATTGTGAACGTTCTAAATGTACAACACTCTGCTCTGCGTACCTATTTAGTTAGCTATAGCGCCGAACTCGACGCGGCGGCAGCACCTGGCCAACTGGGCGGCCTCTCCCCACTCGCCGCCATCTTGTTGATTGAACTTCGTTGTGACGTCGATATTATTACCACTATTCTATTATATTTTGTTCTAATTTGAATCTATAATACCGTAGAATGCCCTAAAATAATTATAAACACATTCTAAGACCTATTTTTATGTCACAAATACAAAAATCGCTTCGTACGGCGCAGCGAATGAAACAAAAAACATACGTACTTACCGATATAGCAAGGTTATATCGGACACATTTCGAGTCGTGGCGTCGCACTGTAATCGGCCGTCTGTGGTAAAGATCGGGATGAGTAAAAATGGATTCCATGTTGTATTAGAACACAATCACACTACTTAAAACCATAAGACATATGAATATATGAAAAATAAACGCAAAGTTCACAACAACGTCGGTCACGTCGACCTAACATTATCAATTTCCTCAAACGTGACGCAACACGACACCGTTCTACCGAAACGGCTTTGGTAAACACGCATATTTTCCGTTGCAATGCAGTACACACTGAGCTCGGAGTAGTCATGAAGTAACTAGCTGTGTACATAAGGCATTTAGGTAGTACGAGTGTACGAACACATCACGGGGTGGTACGTCACCAAACCAATCGGCTTTGTTGTTTTCTACTCTGCTCCCTCTTGTACATTTTCGTTTATATCCGTTTTATTAAGATAAGCCGCTAAGCGTTCATACTATACCGAATTCGACTAGACTATCTAACGCTTGTACTGGCTTGTTGTATATTTAGTTGTCGCCTTGTACTTTTTATGATTTATATACTAACCCTGTTCTATAATGATGGTGAAGGATTATATTATTCAACCGATATATAGATTAGATTATAGCCCACCACTTACATGTAATATTTTTTCAGATTTTAATGTAATAAGTATATAATGTTTTGTAAGTTATGTACATATCTTGTAAACAATCTGTACAGTTTATTCAGTAAATTAAATCGTAATAAAAGATTTGTAATTATTTGCTACAATAATTATTCTTAAACAATTATTCATGGATATAAAAACGTTTAGTTAAATTTTGTTCTTTTTTGTTTCGGAACATAATGTCAATAAAAATTTTGTTTTACAAGATAAAGTAGATTAAAACATATGACAGTTTTAATATAAATACTATATATCTCAATTTAATATATTGTTTCGAAAGAAACATTTTAAAACATAAAATGTATTAATTACTAATTTTTGGCTGGGACTTCGTCCGCGTTAATTTCAGAATTAGTAATATACAGCCGACCCTGCGAACTCTGTTCCTACTTAAAGGCACTAAATAAGAATATTTTGAATTTTATCCACTTATTTTTTTTTTCTCTTTTTTGGTCGAATGAAAAATATCATATGTCCTTTTCCTTGTTCTAAGCTATCTCGTTACCAATTTCCAGCCAAACCCGTACAGCCGTTCTTGAATTATAAATAGTGTAACTAACACGACTTTATTTTATTCATATTGTAGTCTTTATTATGATTAAAAACATATTTCTGAATATCTTATACTAATTTGTCATTTAAGTAACTTAATCCAATTACTTATTTTTCTCACAAAAATATTGTCTGCGAACCATCGAACATAAATGGACGCCATCAAATTTTTTCACTAGAAAGTTTAGTTCATATATCATAGTACATATTACATACAAAACTAATAAATCTATGTAAAATATATTTCACCCAAAATGTCATTCATAAATCAGGTCTTTGCCGACATGATTATGTATTAAAGAAAAAAGAACATTGCTAAAAGTAATGGCCGTCTAAGTACACATTTAAACTTATCTCTAAGGATTAAGAAACGCATAAAAAGAGAGGAAGTACAATAATTACTACAATCTTATCATCGCTTTGTAGAAACAAGGATAATAAAAGTTTAGTAGAATAAAAGAATAATTACTTCTATCATATCAGTTCTATAGTCAAAAGAATTCATTTAAAAATAATTTCATATAAAAGCAGCATTTTATTAAATGAAATAGTTTGTGTATAAAAAAACATTAAAAAATTGCAGCGCACTGCGTCTGTTACGGATTCGCGTTATCATTTACTGTAAAATTAATAGGACGGCTGACGTGCTATAATTTTGATAAATCGAGCCGTAACAACGTGGAGTACTGCCAGAAAAATATAACAAACAAAAATTAACATGAGATAAAAATACAGTACGCCGTACTTATAAAAGGAGTAATGTTACAAAAAAAACAAAGCAAATATCTTCTCTCTAATTTTAGAACGTAATTAAAATGTATAAAGCTAACAGCTTACAAACGTCAAAATTGTAATGCTCAAACCGCCATTGTTTTTAACACAATAGATATTTCAAATTTTCTAAGCGACATTACCTGAGAACGTAATGCCGAGTTAGGATCTACAAAAATAAATCGTACCAGTAATTACGGCGAGTATTTCGTGAGAGTAACAAAATTTCTATGGCTTTGTATAATAACGAATCGTTCCCAAAAGAACTAAAATTTGAGGGTTGTAACAAAAAGTACGAAGGGTCGGGGCTAGGATTTGGGGTTTAATTTTTTATGGAAGCCCGTCGTGTGGAGCGGATAACGCTTTGGTATTCAATTATCTACCTTAACACTGTGATTTAGAACTTACATTACAATAAACCCATACCCTTGGCTCCATACAGACTGCACGATGGGAATCATTTGATATGAAAATACATTTGCGAGAATAAATTAACGCAATATGTTTAAAATTTAACGAACCATCTTTATAAACCAAACATTTATTATTATGTTTAAAAATAATAATACTATTACATATTACTATATAATAATAATATCAGAATTGAAACATGTTATTATTCAAATAAAACAAATTAAAACGTAATGCAATAAATTTCAGAGTTAGCGTTTTGACGCACATTGTTCTGTCCATTGTAATAATGTAAATTCTACACGTGCAAGCATTTTAACGGTCAAATTTAATATGGATTCCTCAAACACGAGCTCGGTAAATTATGCTTTAAATTAGCTGAAAAAAATGGCGCCATCTATTCACAATTATGAATATACGTGAACATAATCCCAGGAGCTAACCTTTTCAATATTCTGTTCTTTAGAAAAACCCCGCTGATTCAACTTTAAGATTGTTTCTACTTTTTGCTCCAAGGCCGGTGAGTCGCGATAATCACTGCTCGAATGCGACACCGCAAACTTATATAGAAAGCTGACAATCCAAATTACACCTTGTCTAAATCATCATTAGATCCATTTTACCATGTTTGGTTTCATCACTGTAGAACGTACAAGATATTTATATTACAAATGTAGACAGCGCCATCTAGTTCTTTTTGTGAAAACTTTGGCTTTAATATTTTGTTATTATGTGTTTATAGATAAAAAAATATTAATTTAACCTATAAAAAGCTAATTATAGTTGAAATATCTGATTAAATACTATTATTTAATTAAAATAATCTTGATTGTATGTCTTACGGACGATAGACATGCTCGGGAATACAATTTTCGTTTCATCCTATGTGCGAGAGAGTCGGAAGCGTATTAGTCTTAGGGGACTTTGACATCAATAAGAAGGTCAAGGCTACAGTTATATATTATGATATGAATGTTTAAATAACTTCATTAAGGGGAGGAGCTTCATCTAAATGATGTGTTATGGGGTAAAATTTTTGATAGCATTTTAAACTGTGGACTATACGATTTAAATTATTATAGTACTTTTAGGACATTCGTGATTTTGATATCCATTATACGATGGAAAACACAGTGTTCCGACACTCATAATGCTGTTATTTCCTGATTGCTCACACGGTCGCGAGGCTTCTCGGTATTAAACAAAAATATAGTTTTTCATGTTATCACGTCATCCACAGTCTTCAACCAGTGTTAATCTTATCATCTTAAACATAAAACAACTTTTACTCTCATAATAAACTCAGATAAATATTAATTTTAACATTTAATATAAATACGGAGATGGATTGTTGTAAATACTTTCTAATCAACTCCCCTCCCCTTTAATCCCCCGCCATCATCCCTCATCTCAAATCCCTCACGGCAAAGGGCGGGAATAAATTATAATATGGAAATTATCCATTCCATACTAAATCATGATCAAAGTTTACGACGCCTGTCACGGAAGTTATTTATCCCTATTCCCTTGCTAAATGATTATAATTAATTATACTATAATAGAAAGCAATACATTCTATTTTACGTACTTAATTTGAAATATAAACTAATTAATAAAACAAATTTGACTTCAATAATAATCATACTAATAATATAATTGCGAAAGTTTGTGAGTGTGTGTGTATGTTTGTTACTTCTTCACGCTCAAACGGCTGAACCGATTTTGATAAAATTTTGTATACAGGAAGCTGACGTCCAGGAATAACATATAGGCTACTTTACATCCCGGAAATCCGCGGGTAACACCGCGGGGCGCAGCTTGTAATAAAATAAATTAAATAAATTAATGAATTAAATTCAATATATCGGTTCTGGCGCAGCAAAAAGTTACAAAATTCATTATATTACAATAAGTAATTTATGTGTAACTGTATGTATATTTAAATAATGTTTATATATAAAATTTAAATAAGCGATTCTTATTTAATCTGTTGCTTGTCTAAGTGACATTTACTACTCGTTAACTGACGTCGGAGACAAAAAAGGTTGTATATCCCATAGCTGCCAGCTGAACTGCATACCCACGTTGAATAATATAAATATAAACAGAACATTAAAATATCTGTCAAGTTGTTTAAATATTAATTTAAACAAGTTACTATGTATAACATTACTTTGTAAGCAGAATGCAGGTGTGACGAACCGAGGGGTCGCATAGGTCAGTTATAAATTAAAACCCTTCCATTGGTAACTTACGAGTTTGGATACGATAATAATAATAAAATATATAAATATATAAAGTTATCGAAGTATTGTAGAAAGAACTTGGTTCTCGAGTTTCAATTTTTGTATGCTTAAATTAATATATTAGTTTTAATTATTAAATATTAAAATAACCGCCCACTTGAGGATAAAACATATGAATTGTAACCAAAGTTATTATTATTAGAAACTAAATCTTTTCTTCGGGATTACTTTACATTTTAACTTTAAGCCATTATGGGTAATTATAAAAGGCTACGTAATACTTATTAATTAGCCACACCATAGATGCACGTGGTAATAAAAAAATATATACTCGATAATACCACTCCAATACGTTAGAAACTTAGAACATTAGTTCCTGTCAATAAAATTTCCAAATTTTATAGGTTTTTAATGTATTCAAATACGTGTATCCGAACTCTTTTAT